GGCAACCTGCCTACACTCAAGAGAGCACTGCATTTCACACAAATCCATTGGTATCGTTACAACGTTTCGGTCTTTATGACCATCATCAGGAATGAAGTGGACATGGAAAGAACAGCAGTATAAAAGAAGGAGGCAAGCAAGCAAAGCGCGGTACATAGTGACAGCGCGCGTAGAGAAGTGCAAAGCACGTCATGGCGGGTGTGCATTACTACATATACATGACAACACAAGCACAAACGGCGAGGAAAGTAGATACTGCGCTACAGCAGTGATAACAGCCCAGTTCCAGTCTCACACCACCAGTGAGGTGTCTAGAGCCCCGCGCCACTCGCAGTAAGGTGGTGTTATAGCAGATCCCAGCCACTGTTATTGTTAATTTCCGGGGATCGCTCCCTGATATTGATCGCCTCCCGGATCCTCCTCCTGGGGCGGTCACGCTCAGAACCGAGAACCCGGATACCTGAGAAAGCCGTTGCTCCCAATGGCAATGGGTCAGATGCATGCTTGGCCGCGAAATGCTCACCCAGCGCGGTGCCGCTCACTGTGTTGCGTGCGTCGTCGTTGTGTTCTTTTGTCCTGGTAGCGAGGCTGCGGTACGTCTCTCCGACATATTTATCACCACATTTGCACTCCAGGTGGTATACAACATTTCGCTCCGTGCATGCCCCCGAACCGGACATGCAGGCGACACAAGCAGCTTTGGGCCGCCCCCTGCTGTAGCGCAGTATCTACTTTCCTCGCCGTTTGTGCTTGTGTTGTCATGTATATGTAGTAATGCACACCCGCCATGACGTGCTTTGCACTTCTCTACGCGCGCTGTCACTATGTACCGCGCTTTGCTTGCTTGCCTCCTTCTTTTATACTGCTGTTCTTTCCATGTCCACTTCATTCCTGATGATGGTCATAAAGACTGAAACGTTGTAACGATACCAATGGATTTGTGTGAAATGCAGTGCTCTCTTGAGTGTAGACTGTAGGCAGGTTGCCTGCAAGTATAATGAAGCTGCGTGAAGCGTCCTTCAAAATTTTAAAACATACATGTAAATAAAAAAAGTCATGTACGAGTCGTCGTACAGTGCATGCTGGCAACTGAAATCCGACCCCTGAGCCGGGCGCTCCCATCGCAAACACACAGTCCGTGCGCCAAGGGGTACTCAAGGGCTGATTTTATTTGCAACCGCGGGAAACGAAGTCACCAAGACGCCTTCATTTGAGGCTTTTGGAATTGGAGAATTTATTGAATTTAGGTATGGCTCTCGTCCCTTCTAGAGAACTAACCAAGACCCTGTGGGGGCAGAAGGAGACTTCTTTGGCTCCGTGAATACACTAGCTATGCGGTGGTCTAGTTAGTTTGAGTGTGTGGTTCGTATTCAAAGTGTTCCAAGCCGCAGTTCACTCGAAGGTCATCGTGGATACGTCTGCACTTGAAAATCAAGGCTGGAAAGGACTGCCTGGTGTGTCCGAACGGTATGTTTTGCACTGAAGGCATTTCTTGTATGAATTGTTGAAAGTGTCTACTTGTTCGAAATGAAAAAGACATGGTCGTAGATCCTTGGCCCACAACACCCCACTAAATAAACTATGACCTGTCGTGAAATTATGTGAAATTGATCAACACAATCATACACAAATTATCCTATGGCAAAGTACTGCAAATGCAAATAATAGCATCCCTTTACCTAGGTCATGTTTGTAGGGCCTTATGCCACATCTTTGCATGATTTCCTCATGCAAATCGTGTGCCTAGCTTCGAAAACACATTGCGCTAAGTACCGAATATATACCTGTGAATCAGAACAACAGCACTCACTATTGCTTTCATGAGTGGTAATGGTCAGCTGAAAGGAAACTTCTATCCATCAACTCATAAGTAAAGTAATGACTAATCTCCTTGCTGGGCATGTGGTTCCTTCGTATTTACATGTACCGTAAAGTACCGCCAGAGCGCCCCACCATCTCGTCCTTTCGGGGTCGTATTGTGGGGGTGGTCTCCGGTCTGTAGGTTATACGACACGAACTTTGTACACATATTGCACGTTCTGCAGACAATCTGTGCCTTCGAGCGGACACGAGCTCCACACAAAAACCTGCTTAGTGTGACCTTAGTACACTAAGTTGCTCACACCGTACGAACTTCGTTGCACTCTGCCACACGATTTTCCTTTCCCTGGCTGTATTATATAAATCTGTCGCAGCAAAATCAAGGTGGGGCGCTCTCGCGGTACTTTACGGTATGTGCGCCTCTCTGTGTTCGGTGAATGATTTTGAATATTTGCGCACGACTTCAGGATAGTGCACATTGTATGCATGTACCTGCATATGTAATCCTTTCATGATTTAAAAATTAGGAGAGCCGTGCTTCTCATCACCGTGGACAAGTAAATGTCGGCCAATTACGTAGCGTTTGGAGATTTGCACAAGTACAGTTGCGTGTCGATTATGCGGCAACCGCGGAATAAAATGAATATTCTGGACGACTGAAGCTACAAAGCCATCTTGTGTTAACTTAACAGATAAAAAAGACAGTACTTCGAAGTACCTGTATTTATCACTAGTATTACCCTGAGACAGTCGTGCTCATCTCTAGAGACTGGCTTGTATTTAACTCTACGTAATGGCAACTCTCATGATGCTGACTGTCTACATTTACTTGAAGTAGGACTATAAATACTAAATATAAGGTCTATAAGCTGTCAGCGCGGTGCTGTTGGATACCCGACATGCCATGTGACTGACCGCCAGATACTAGTAAACGACATGCGATTGTACCGGTCACAGTGTAGCTGGGTTTTCACGACAATTTGAAACTTATACGATTGTGAGAAAAGTTCAGAAACCACACTTACACATACACACACACGCACGCACACACACACACACATGCGCGCACGCGCGCGTGTGCACACACACACACACCTGTCCTGTTCTGTTGAGCCACTACCACAACTTAGCACAAGGATCGCATCGGCCCCAAAGGGGCAGTAGAGCGAAAGTGAGAGGTGTTGGCTTCGAGTTCACCTATCTCTACGGTGAACGCAACCTCGATCGAAAGTCATGCCAAACGGATTTATCTACCACACGCGCGCGCGTGCGCGTATACAAAACGGAGGAAGGATTACTTACTCTCCCTGTATGATGTTTCTGTTGTATTCGTGAACAATGTCATTGATGTTTTTCCATGCATGTTTTTGAATATGCGAGCATAACTTCCAACATCAAGCACATTCTTGCTTCTCATCAGCATGTACAAGTTTATGTTGGGCAGTTATGTAGCGTTTGTTTTACCGGCTGCGTTTGTTTTACCGGCTGCGTTTGTTGGTGCTTGCAGGTCATTGGCATGCTGTCTGTTTCACAGAAGCTCGTGTAACAGGTTCACCGTACAGCTATGAATGCAATGTAGCGTGTTGAAGCCACTTCGGTATGACGTGATGCCTAATTTCCTGGTTGTACCAAAATTGCGAGTATGCAAGTGATCGTCAAGCCTGCCCCTGTACAGTAGCCGTCTTGCCTTGTTACGCCTGGTTCTGACTCTGCGTTCTCGTTTACTCCATGCAATGTTACAAGGAATACTGCTCCCTTCTCAAGCAATTCATTGGCAACAAAACGCTCGGCTATGCCCTGTAACTTTGCTGTGCGGTTTGTGCTTTGTCAATGTTGTGTACCAGTTCATGATCTGTGCTTGCTGGTCTGTTTGTTTTCTCTCGCACAATTGAGGCGCTGTAGCACAGTGTACAGTGTCGATCATCCTGCCCAGGCTCTGATTTCACGTACCACAGTACGGTTTCTCTTGTTGCTCACTGTAATGTGCATGATACAAGCTCCTTGGTACTCCATCATCACCTGGTGCTGTTGCTGCCATTGTTGGACCCTGCTGATATCCTTCTCGCAATGCCCGAACGTTGTTCCAACAAATGCACAACTCGCTCTTAGTTGTCACATTCGGTTTGGTCTCGTTCCAGTCTTTCGAATTGAGTGAGTGCGTAAGCTTGTATGAAGTGGTGGAGCAAAAGCCGTGTGCCGGCAAACATTCAATGTCCGGGTGTAATGACGCACCAAGGTCCCGGGACTTGCGTCCAATTCCTGAGTGATTTTTGTGTGCCTAGCCTCTAGGTATCATACCATATTTGTTTGGTTCAACCGTTTTGGATGCCCACTGCAATACCATTCACTGTATTATGTGTGTATGTTATCCAAGAAATCTCCCATATTTTTGGGTGGACAAACCTCGCCATAAGTCAGTAACCTGGCATTTTGCACTAACAGAACTCCTAGGATATCAGCGCCGTCTCAGTACCTGGGGACAGTTGTAAAGAAAAAGAAAAAATATCCTTGGCCCACAATGCCCCACTAAATAATCCGAAGGGTGTCGCGAAGACGACAATTTCCTTACCTTTCTTTCGTGGACGAAAAAAGACACTTCGCTTCGTCCGTTGCGCATGAAACGAAACATGAGGGTAGTGTTTATCAATTAGAATAGGTATCATGCACGAAGGAATGGCGAAAAGGTACTATGCTCGAGCGCTGGTCGTCGTCTTGTTTGTCAATTTTGAGTCCCATTGAGAATTTTCTTCTCCAGACCTCTCAAATTTCCCGCGGTTGCAAATAAAAGTGCAACTTCTAGACGACTTTTTTGAATTTGGCGCACGGACTGCACATTCACACGTACAGGCGCTAGGCCTGAAATCCGACCCTGAGCCGGGCGCTCCCATCGCAAACACCCGAAATAGAGGTCGCTAGAAAGTGAACCGGCCCAAGGGGTCGGATTTCAGTTTCAGTACGAGTACGCTCGTACTACTCGTTCTGCAACTGCAAGTCTGCAGTGCATGACTGCATTCACACGTACAGGCGCGCGCTAGGCGGGATCCGCGCTTGCACTGATCTGAAAAAAAAAATGTATCTGCTGTCTGCTGAGTGTAGTTTTTTTTGTGTAGTAAGAGTACACATTTATGTACTCTTGTCGGACTCACGTGATATTAACGCGCGCATGCGTACGAGCTCCAAGTCCCAACGCGATTTGGACGACAACGAATATTCTGTTTTCTGCTGCTGTCGACTTTTTGCCAGTTGCCAGTTTAGATGTTGTAGCGGCGTTCTGCCAACTCTTTCAAGTCTTTCATTTCCTTCCCTGGTGAGACGAACTTGCAGATCTTGTGACGGCAGTCAGGAGCAGCAGGAGCTGATTGTTTTCCTGTTTTGCCTTGTTGGATTGCAGCGGGCCCGAGTGACAGCTCGTTTGGCGTTGTAGGGTTCTGAGGGAGAAAGATCTTGGTTGATTCGGGCCGAGGTGTTTGCCGTGCACCATGCAGACCATAAAATGTGTGGTCGTTGGAGACGGTGCTGTGGGTAAAACTTGCTTACTTATTTCGTACACCACGAACAAGTTCCCCAGCGAATATGTACCAACGGTAAGATCCACAGGCTGGAGAGCCTCAGTTGGATCTGCTGATGAAAGAATTTGTCGGAGGTGCTGACTGACGGTCCAATGTCCGTCATTCTTTCTCCCTGCACTCGTAGGTGTTCGATAACTATGCTGTCACTGTAATGATCGGTGGAGAGCCTTACACTCTCGGTCTCTTTGATACAGCTGGTAAGTTGCTCAGGCCGAATTTGTCACACTCGTTTACAAACATCCGAACGTCCCGAATGCTGATGGAAAACGTCCTGATGCATTTTTTTCTACTTCTTTCTGGCTACTGTTTGAACTACAGGTCAGGAAGATTACGATCGTCTGAGACCCCTGTCTTACCCCCAAACTGATGTTTTCTTGGTGTGCTTCTCTGTCATTTCTCCATCGTCGTTCGAGAACGTCAAAGAGAAGGTACGAGTTGTAGCTCTCGATGTGTGTATGTGTACGTAAGAAACTACTTCTGTAGTGTAGAAGTACCTTGTAGATCTACTTCGTGTGTTGCTCCGTGTTTACATGTAGGTAGGCATTCGGACTAAGTAGTACTTGTAATCTTTTGTTCATCGTTTTCGTACTCCCCATTCCAATGTGCCTGTCAGTGCACTGCAACCTCGGACATCGAGTGTGTGACTGCGTCATCACTCAAGCAGAGTATTGGATCTGGTGGCCCTGCGCGCTCACAGCAAAATTTTATAAAGTGGTTGCAGGGCCAGGCGTATTACTCTGCCATGGCACGATTCCCTCTGTCGTGCTGTGTTACAGCATGAGGTGGCGTTTTTGAAGGTTGATGCCTCTTCAGTTGTGCAGTGCTGACCACTGAAATCTATCCACTGGGGTACTTTGTCTGTGCCACTGAACAGTACTGTAGCTATTCCATCCAGGTCCAGTCTTTAGAAAGACACCACCCAATGGTCGAGATTCGGTGTGTGTTTGTTGGGGGGGGGGGGGGAGTTGGTATCTGTGTAGTCCCGGTGTCATTCAGTCTACAGATGAACTGCGCACTGATGGACGCGAGGTCCAAGAACGCCGCTGGCTTTTTTGTATACGTGTCCATTGCGAAAGAGTGTGTGTGCAATCTAGTATGGTTTGCGTCGAAGGACGTGCAAAAAGATCTCAGTCAGATTGCTGGATAATAGAGCAACCCAGGCTGACCCCATGGAAATGACATTCATAGCCACACGGCTCAGCTGTAGTTGCTGCAGCTCTTGACCTGTACCTTATAGTGCTGGCTAATACAATGAGACTGGTGGGCTTCTTGCTATGAATTCCTGGAAATCTGCAGGAATAGTTGCCATGGCCATTGCATCGTGCAGCTATCTGTTCAGTGTTGTGTGCTGAGGAGTGTATAGTTGGGTCCTGAGCAGTATGTAGTTGTGTGTCCTGCCGCACACTGTGCCTGTGCTGTAGTATGCCGGCAGGGGTTTGGAACCGTGTGTGCTAGTGGTACTGCCATTGTTGGCACGTTTGCTGACATACGTTAACATAGTACTCAGTTGTGCACGATGCCGTTTGACCATGTGTACGACAATGGTTGTCGGCATTCATAGTGTCGTGAAACAGATGGTCGATGTGTAATTTTGGCTTCAATGCATGGTTTCTCTGATTGCGGTCGCTAGCGATCAAATGCGCGGTGGTTCGTGCACTGGTTTATCACGAACAGATTTGGCCACTGTGTTGTAGTTTTGCGTACGAGGGGAAGCCTTGCTTCTAGGCAGTTTTAGTATCAAATGATACATGGTTTATAGTGTGTCCGACTTCCCCTCCCACCGACTTGTGTATTTATCTTTATCCTGAACGAAATGTGTGTGTGTGTGACTGTGTGTTCATGGCTATGCACATTGCGTGTATGACTGCCCGTAGTCGTTCTTGAAAGATAAACTCTAACCGAATGGGTACGCCATGACTCTGAGTGCGGAACTCTTCTACAGTGCTTCTTGGAAGCTACAGTGGCTTGCTAGGGTTTGGGGACACTGTTCTGGGCATGGGTTGCCACGAGCTAACTTATTTTCTAATACAGTCTCCGTAGTTTTTGCACAAAGTAGCAATTCTTTAGATCGTGTACCATATAGGAATTAGAATCCAGCACTTGTATTGATCGTGGGGCACAAGAACATTTCCGTGCATTGTCAAAACAACTGCCAGTGATACTTGTCCAGTTTCTTGTGATATTGTAAGTGAGTGTGGCTGGTGGGGGACACAATAGAAGTACTCTAATTTCAGAAATTTTCGGTGCTCGATATTTTCGGTATGAGAGCAACAGGCTATGTTAGGTAAACAGAAATTTTCGGTACAGAGAAGCAGTTCCCTATTGTGTTATGTGTGTTAGTGTTTGTTCGGTGTACTGCAATTTTAGGTATGAAACAGACGCACCGAAAGTACCGAAAATTTGTGAAATTACAGTACTCCGCTGCTCGCAAAGTGCTCTCGGCACTATGCCAAAAGTGTTGGCGTGAGAAGGCGCACAGCATCAGCACAATTTTGTTCTGCCTTCTGTGTAGCCGCTCACTTATGGGTGGTGGTGGTATCATGTTTTCCCTGTGTCTCAATGAAACCTGACGATGGAAGAGACTGAGTACTCTTGCACCAGTTCAGAACCTAGTACATGTGTCTGTAGTGCTAAGGCTACACTGTGCCCGGTGTCAGGCATGGCGTCAACCCTGATCTATGCATTTGTGGAGCGGGTCGCGTCGTGTGTGTACATACATTGAAACATAGGATCGCTCTGTTTAGTTGAGACCAAGAGTGTGCAACTTCAGCTAGTATGGGGTCTGCGGTGGCACTTCATATCATGTGACGAACTCGTACACATTGTTTGCGCCCTGTGCATGATAGATACAGGGTTGTATGCAACCTTGCTGTTTATCGAGTGGGTAGTGGTGATAGAACAAACTGGTTGTGTTGCGTGTCCATGTATCACTTGTCAATGAAGAATGGCCTGCTGACCGCGACTGTGCTTTGATTGCGACCAGGCAGTGTCTGGCTGCTTTCAAGTCTAAGCTGCGATGTGCGATGGAGTGTAGCCAGCTTCTAAAGGCTGCGAGTGCTACTGTTGACAATTGAGAGAGGATTCCTGTCGAGCTTAGGCCAACACGCCAAAGCCTTAGTGATGTCCGCTGGTTCATATAGATCGTGGTGAATCTGGTGTTGATTGGGTCTGCGCAAAGGCAGATGTGTCAGGCTACTTTGCTGGCTGCTTGGAAGAATTCATGGGTTCAGGGACTCGCACTGATCATGCGTGGTGCTTACTAAAATATTGATGTGAGCTACAGTGCTGGCAACTGAAATCCGACTCCGTGAGCGGTGGGTTCACTTTCTAGCGGCCTCTGTTTGGTAGTTTTACCATCCCGTGTTGGGTCTTTGCGATATGAGCGCACCGCTCAGGGGGTCGGATTTCAGTTGCCAGCACTGTAGCTTGTGAGGAATATTCGTGGAAGACAAGACCGTGTAGCATGTATGACAAGTGACTTGATCATGATCTTCATCAGCATTGCCAGTAATATGCTTCCAGGCATACTCTTTCATCGACACAAGGCACTGTAATGCGAAAAAGATACCTGACCGTCCATTAATAGTTGCTCTTGGTATCTGAAACCAAGGATTTATTCACTGGCAAGGTGGATAATTTTGTGTGGAGCCGATTTGTACCCTGGGTCTACCTGCAGTTTTGCGCTGGAATTTATTGTGTATTATTGATATTATATTTTCAAGGATTCTCCAGAGGCAATGGATGCCTATGAAAGGAGTCTCCTGGGGAAAGGAAGTGAAGGTGGCTGTTATGAGAGAGAGAGAGAAAGAGACATGACAAGGAGTATGTTGTGCATAGTGCGTACATCCACTGAGAAACTTTTTGTGTGAGAAACACATGTACACTTGCATTCAAGTGTGCATGGATATTGTTACTCGATATCAATGAAGCTACTCCCACATTGATTTTGTTGTCCAGTTTTCAACTTTCTTACGGTTAGCATTGGCCATATGCGCACAGATGCTCGTCTGGAATTTATTTCCGTCCTTTTCGTCCAAAACGTTTTCAGGCCTGGCCTACAGCAATTTGCCTACGTTCGCGATAGGAATCATTGATGGGTAAAAGTATTCAACGGCTAGATGTTCTGCTAATATGCCATAGAAAGTAAGAAAATATAACTCCCCTCAGCATAAGCCATCAAATAGAAATGCCAGGGGCATCGCGAAAATTATAACTCCTCTCAGCATAAGCCATCAAATAGAAATGCCAGGGGCATCGCGAAAATATAACTCCTCTCAGCATAAGCCATCAAATAGAAATGCCAGGGGCATCGCGCACCTGGGCTCATCAGACGATCTTCGTCCTCCAACGAGTGTGTGTACCTGTACATGCATGTATATGTTACATAGAGATCTGCAGTTCCCAGGTGTCCATACCAGAGAGTATCTATCGGTGGTCTACTCCATTCTCGAACTGGACCGACAACGTGCAATATTGGTTTGGGCAATAGCTGTGTAAAGCACTGCGAAGTAGTGGGTGGGTCGCTTTTCCCCGAGACAAAACACCTGGGGTCTTCCTCTGGAGTTTTACACTGTTGGTGCTTGGTGTACAAAATGCTGCGTGGTTATTGTGTTTTCACAACTGCCGTCACTTGCTCCTGTTTCTGGTTGTCTAAGTCTACTAGTAGTTGATGTTAGACTTTAGTGTGTCGCTTTGCTTGACTGGTTTTTTTTGTGGTGTGCTGCTGTGTTGACCTTTGTGTGCTTAGTGGGTCCCTGAGATCACCCATCACTGTCCCAAAACACCATTCCTTCTAGTCGGCACCCAGGTGGATTTGCGTGATGATGCTAGCACAACAGAAAAACTGGCCAAGAACAAGCAAAAACCAATCACGGTCGAGGCAGCGGAAAAACTGGCAAGAGAACTGCGCGCAGTCAAGTATGTTGAGTGCTCAGCTCTGACGCAGAGGGGTCTGAAGAATGTATTCGATGAGGCCATTCTTGCGGCGCTCGAGCCTCCGGAGGCACCAAAGAAGAGAAAGTGTGTTCTATTGTAAAGCTTGTGACGCGTAACAATAGTTTTGCCATGATATTTCGGTTGCCGCTGGTGAGTGATGCTGGCCTACTGCATTTGTATATGATTTTGCACAAAAGACATCACGCTGTTGACATGATCTATATCCATCCTTCCCCGCCCTGTCTAATTGTTATTGCTCAGCTATCTTTTCTCTCCTCCCGTCTTTGATATCTCTCCTTCCTTCTTTCTGGCCCTGTCACTTTTGTTTTTTATTACCGGTGCTGCTTTGTTATTTTATGTGCGTAATAGGAGGGAACTCATTAATTATTATCTTTCCGTTTTCTATTGTTATACTATGTAGTTGCAGTAAGTTATTTGCTGGACATAGGTGTTGACGGTTTATGGTGTTTTTTTTTCTTTGATAGGTTTTTTCCGTTTCTTTCCTGCGCACATCAGACAATAATTCTACGCTTTTGTTCCATTAATGCGGTTATCATCTGTTAAAATATACATCTTCCGGGAACGTGCTGATCTTTCGGCACATAAGACCAAAAAATCAATCCAATCTGTCATTGTGAGGATCTGTGTGTGCCTGTCCTCTTTGGTAAAGGCGTGACAAGGCACGTGTATTTTTTTGTGTTCTGGAATTAAAGGGTTGCATTATGTAGCTGCACTTGCTTCTTCTTATCACCTTTGATCTCGTACATACAGTTATGCCTGTGTGTTTGTTGGCACTGGGCCCGGGGGGGTCCTAACACATTTTTTTACGACTCCCTCGTTGGCACTGTATACAGTACTTTTGTACATGTGCCTCTGAATAATTCAGAAAATCCCCAAGAAATGTTGCAACATCAAGAAGGGGGCCCAGGAGTGTTTCACTGGAAATCCAATGGTGTTCAGACTTGACATTTTGTCCCATATATTAACTATATTAATTTTTTCAGGACGGACAGGCCAGCGAATGTTTGTAGTACATGTATGTACATGTATTTGCGGCACGTACCCAGTCGATCAACCACACTCCTCATGTTGCTGCTATCAAGAGTACATAACCCCAGGGGGTTATGTACTCTTGCTGCTATTGATTACAATTTGTGCTGCCATAACGGGCTTTCTTTGGATAGAATCCAGCAGCTGTATATTATGCACAGCACAATTGCCTTCGTCACATAACTACACCATAGTTTCTCCAACAAAAATCCACACACAATGTGACATGCACACACACACACTTGTACCTGTTCACCAGTACAATGTAGTGCACTGCCCGAAACTAGCCAGGCGGCCGGGGTCTCCCCCTGGGTGACTAACGTTAAACCGTTGTAGTACAGTGCAGTAGGGGAGAGGGATTCGGGAAATCTTGGAAAGATGACTCTATTGAACAGGCCAACGGCTATAGCAGCTACCAAATCCTCAAACCACAGGTTGACTTGAAAAACATGACAACACTTTCGGGCTCACCACACCGCAGGCCGTGGGTGAGGACAAGGACTTAAGTGCAGAAAAGGGATTGACGGTATCAAGGTATCCCGCCTGGGATCCAACTGCATTGTAGTGTCATTTACTCATGCCCCTGCTGAGCGAAATACTTTTTACTAGTGTGGATGGCTAAATCAGAGTGGATCTGATAGGCTTCACAAGCAGTACCATTGACTACACAAGAGTTAGTCTTGCCAGAAGTAGAACAATTGGTCAACAGGTGTGTACACTTCAAATAGAAAGTAGAAGAAGTATGCGCACACCAGCACACACACACACACACACACACACACACACACACACACACACACACACACACACACACACACACACACACACACACACACCATGTACCACACACACACACATGCACCCCCCCCCCCCCCCCCCCCTCCCACACACAAACAGGTCAACAGTCAAAAATCAGCGGCCCCAGGACATTTCGAATAAGAAAAGCAGATACTAAAGAAAAGGTATGATTGGGATAGTGACACGACATGGCATGACACGAGAGGGAAAAACGAAATTCAACCAGTGGCATCAAAAATACTTGTCAAGACCTCATAATACTCCTGATCTCATGTTGTCACAAAACCTGCTGTGAAAAAAACAACAATGGGATCAGCATAAAGAGCACAGAATGAAATGTGGGAAGATGTGTGCGCACACGGAAGTGCACTGTTCAACCTCGCAATAAAAGGGGGTGAAACAGACACACTGTGAGTAAAAGAGAAAGAACAATAACTCCAAACACTGAGGCTTGTCTGAAAAGCGGTGGATCAGGTACGGCATGCGCTCAGATCAGCTCCACGGCTAGCTTGGTGCCGCCGTTGCGGAGTGCGAGCAGCGGAAACAGGGGGTAACTGGCCGGCAAGTGTTCAATGCAGTCGACCTTGACGTCGCCGTCGTTCTCCTCAAGCAGCTGCCGAGAGAGCGTCAGTGTTCGTGCCGAGCAGTCCAGCTGCACGAACACCTCGCGAGCATAGTCCAGACTCTGCGGGCCGCACGACACATCGGAGTGCGGCCCGTGAAACGTGCGCCCATCGGCGCACCACGACCAGGAGCGGCGCAGTATCTGCTCCCAGGGCTCGTTCAACTTCGGGTCAACATAGCCAACCACGCCCACGGCAAACCGACCACCTTCGAACGTCACCTTCCACGTGTGCTGGCCATGCAGAAAGCCACGATTGCCAATGACAAACTGATTGCTCGAGCGGGCTGTCGCCTTGAGATGCCCCTCGACAAGTTTCACGCCAGTGGACGGCTCACAGGTGGGTACCAGGTGCCAATGGCCGCGGTTGATGCGGAACGGAGCGCCGTACACGTCCTCGCCGTTCATCTTCACGCTCATGGTGTATATGCCGCACTTCTGCGAGGTGAAGCGGTACGACACGTCGTACGTGCCGTCGTGATTGTCCACGATGGTGATCTCCGGCGGCTGCGGGGTGACTCTGCCCATGTCGTGTGGCACGTCCGACCACGTGCACTGCAGCGCGTCGCCGCCATCTTTCATGCGGTCGCCGTGCCGATCGTGCGCCGTGAGGATGAAGGTCATGCGCTCGTTGCGGTACGCCTCGCTCACGCCCGTGCCCTCGGCCATGCACTGGTCACCCAGCGCCAGTCGTGCACGCAACGTGCCCAGCGCACGAACCTGATCGGGAAACCCGTACTCCTTCGGAATGTACTGCAGCGTGGCCTGTGCACACGGCTCAATGGTGGACGACGGAAACTCGACACCGCACAGGAACTCCTCGGCGTCTGCCAGTCGCTTCACACCAATCGGGTCACAAAACTGAGATGTGCTGTCATCCGCCAGTACGGAGCGCGCAAACTTGACAATGGGTCGCAGCTTCTCCAGCTGGCCCTCGATGCTGTTGTACTGGTCATAGAGCGCTGCGTAGCGCTGGTGTTCGATGTCGTCAATCTGCGTCACCAGCTCGGTCTCAACGCGCTGCGCCTGCCTGCGGATGTACTCGACGACGACGCGCTTAGCGTGCACACTGTTAATTTTCAGCTGCTGCATGACGTCCTTGACCTGGTGCTTGCACTGCACCAGCGGATCGCCCAGGTTCTGCAGCAGGTAGGTGAACTGCGCGTCCACGCGTACACGCCGCTCCTCGCAGATCTCATCGACCGAGACAGTGGCGTGCGCCACGCCGTCCTTGTACTCGTGTTCCCCTCCCTGCTTGGTGCACTCGCGACACACGTAGGCGCCACACGGCGTGCAGAACATAGTCAGGCGGCGGCGCTGGTGCTCGGCGCACCACTGGCCGGACGTGCACGCCGCCTTGGCGTGCCGCTGCTGCTCGAACAGCTTCGCTTCCGTGTCGGCCGACTCATCATGAGAGCGTTTCTCGGCGTGGACAGGAGCAGCGCTATCGTATGTGACCTCAACGCCATCCGCCCAGTCATCTTCGATCTGCATGTCATCATTGGCATGTACAGCGGTAGGGGATGCCATGCTGGCGCTGGGCTCGTCACGCTCCGGCTGTGGTCTGCCGTATAGAGTCGGCGAGACAATTTCCGCCGGATCGTCCTCGTGCGCGTGGTGGCAACTGTCCCAGTCGGTATGCTCGGCCGGCGTGGGCAGCAGTGTTTTACCAGGTGGTGGTGGTGGTATGTCTCCAGGATCACTGGTGCTAATAGAGGGAGCGCTTCTAGAGTCGGTTCTGCTGCCGACATCACTATCAACGTCATGATCGCCATCAGCATGACCACGCGCCACTTTGTGATCGTTCCAAGAGTGCCTATCCTGCCCAGCAGCATTGCCATTGCCACTGTAGTCTTGCTCGTGTTCCTGGGGATACTCGGACTCGTCAGGGGTCGGAAGCAGTGATCTAGCTGGCCTGGACGTGTCGTAGACCGGGCGGTACTGCTCGTCGTGACAAGGACCACTCCACCCGTCTTGTCTCGGTGCTCCACGTTCATTGGCCGGGTATTTTCCAGGTGGCCGGTATGCGTCGACTTCCGCACTGTGGTGCTGATGGCCACCGTTGCTGGTACCCCGAGGCGGGTCAGGCCAGGCGGTATGGGCATGCGAAGGTGCTCTGTGAGGCTGCTGAGCCTGCTGAGGCGGTCGGTGCTGTGTAGGTGGTTGGCGGTGATGCGACGGGGGCTGCTGCTGCTGCTTATATGCTGGGTGCTCTGCGTGCTCATCACGTGGTGCCAGCTGATGATCGTACGTGCTCCCTTGCCCACGGTCCGGAGGCACAGACTCAAGCAACGGCCCACGCGACGGACGACCACCGCCGGCAGTCGGATCAGGCAGAAGCGTGCGGCCGCCCCCAGTGCCATTTCCACCGGCAGGAGCTACTGGCGCATGCCGATCCCAACTGCCGTTACCGCGGACGCGCTCGGGCTGCCGGTCCTGCGTCCATGCGCCACCAGTGTGGGGGCCATGAGCAGGTTCAGGCGCCGTAGAATGCTGATGGCGCGGAGTTGTGTCTCTGCTATAACTAGTTCCGTATTGTGCATTTTCATATGAGCTACCATGAGCTTCGGTTCCCTGCCCAGACTGACTGTAACGATTCGGACCAGGATTAGGTCTTCCCCTGTTGGTTACGTCTGCATCAGCGACGTACTGCGAAGTGGAGCGCGCCTGCGACTGAGTATGATGTGTGTCTGCCCAGTGCGCCTCGTGGCCTGTTCTCGGTAGCAGGGTTTTCCGTGGCTCTGGTTTGCCCTGCGCTGCTTGACCAAGGTCAAAGTAGCCACCACCACCTGAACTCATGGTGAAAACCACTAATCCTAAGAGAGCTTCTCAGAATTCTCTAATACCACAACGTAGTGGAACACATCAAAGCAAGGAGCGAAACTCTTTTCTAAGCATATCTCAGACGACCAGACGATGAGCATTGCAACAAAACAAGAGAAACTTTTCAGAATGACTTGCCATTTGCATTTGCACCAACGTTTGACGGTTTGACTGAGAGAGAAGGTCTCAGAAAACAATCATTTTCTTTTTTTCAATTTTTGTACAAAACTTTTTTTGGCGTCATTTTCTCTTCTCTTCTTCCTGATCCTTCCTTAAAGAAGTGTAACGTTTGAAAGTTTTTCTACTGAATCTACAGAGGGTAGGAGTACGAGTCGAAGCTGATTGTGTTTCTCGAAACATTTCTATAGCCGGTGGTTACGTGGATGTGCGAACTTTCCTTTCCCAATGAGTCGTACATGCTGCACTCAGCAAGAGAAGGCTTCGACTAAGTAACGAGTCACACAAGTTGTCGAATTGCAGGGGCGTAGGAGGGGTTTTGGAAGTGGTACGACCGAAGGTCGGTGCGGCCGAAGGCCGTGTTGGAGGGGGGTCCGGGGGACCTCCCCCGGGAAAATTTTGTAAAAAGGACACAAAATCCTGCGTTCTGGGAACTTCTGGCACACTTCTGGCGCAGTGTGCAGTCGAGTCGAGCACAGTACTCAGTACGACTGCAGATGCATAACAGATCTACGAGTACGAGTCTAGAAAAAAGGTCAAAGTCTGATGCGCATATATGCATCGATGGATCCTGATTTTTTTATTACGGTTTTGCACGTTCCGGACGGACCACACTTTTCGAAAAGTGGTACGGCCATGGTCGTACCAGTCGTAGCGGGTGCTACGCCCCTGAATTGGGAAGCCTATTCATTGTACTATTGCCCTGGGTCATAGCCTCATTGGCATCCAAAAAATATGAAGTTCAGTTGTGTACAAGTGACCGACCATCCACCATGTACTGTACTTGCAATACTTCAGTTGGCATTTTTTTTTAACTCTATGGACATACCGGTGCACGTGCATGTACATGACATTGTACTACTGTGCAGTCCACTTCACCTGGCCTAGGCGCCTGCAGCTGAGAAAGGAGCGGTGGCTTGACAGCAGATGAGATAGTCTGAGAGAGGTGACCAGTGGAGGGCCGGGCATACCTGGACACTAGTACCCCAGGGTATATTCTAGGACGAATTTCCAACCGGTTAGTTACGGTCCAATGAAGAGTCGGGGGTCCCCCCGGAAATTTTTTCAAAATACAACCCAAATATGGCACTCGACACACAAACCGTACAAACTCGTGACCCTAGTACCAGGCCACGCGACTTCGCTGGAAGTATCCGTCCAGAAAAATGCGTTTGACCATTCACCCACAGAAAAGTACGGGCGGTTGGAACTGATTTGTAACTTTTCAACCGGTCGCCAACAATTTCAACCGGTCGAAAACCGGTTGGGGCGGTTCTAGAAAATTCCCTGTACCCGTACTAGCCCAGTGCCGGGGCCTGTCGTCCCCCCTCCCCCCCCCCCCCCCTGTCCCGTATCGATTCTTCCAAGCTGAGCGGACCGTTTCCGGGTAGTGCCAGTTTGGCCGTAGACCTGGTAGACCGTGCCATGAGTGTGTCACCATAGTAACATGCTAGTGATACGCATGTACACACTTGTTGCAATTTCACTGTGTCGCATCGGAAACAAGGATCATCGGCACCGGTACGAGTAAGTGCATTGGGTGTGTTTGATCACATACCCTGGGTCCAGGCTTGAGAACATTCTCGAATAACCATGCAGGCTGAGCGGATTACGGCCATGTCAGGGAGTCGTAAAATACCGGTATTTTACGACTCCCTGGGCCATGTGAATGAACAACTGGAATGTGTCATGTATTCTACAATCTAGGACTCAGAGTAGGAGGTGTTCGACGAAGTCAGAAACACTCAATTTGATCATGAACACTACGTACAATGCACACGGCCTGTTGATAAACATGCGCAACTAACTTAGGCTGCATTCGCTTCGTACGGTCTACAGTCGTGGCCAAAGAAATCCGACCAAAGGGTCAAACGTAGTGCTGCGTGTCCATTTCAACTACATCATGCACGTTCCAAAACAGACATCCAAACGAAAACAAAAAAAGTTGCATGAGCCTTGCATGGCGCTGCTTCAAAACACTGTACTCCAGAAACAGACTCCCTGGTTGATATGAAACGGATAGCCTGACCGAACAGGAAGGAGAACACAATTAATATCGAACAGATTTCTTCCAACAAAAACTGAAAAAAAATAGGTGCCAAGCAGTGTGCTTGGGGCAGAAAACTCTGACATGTAATCAAAATGTACGATTGAAAAAAATGCGATCACATAATTACTGTCGAGTAGAAAAGTACTGATGTAATTTGTAAAGGCGGTTGTTTACGTTAGGTGAGAGTATGTGACTCCTTTCCGTTTGCTTGTAAATGTAGTGCAATCTTTTAGTTTAGTTTTGTCAAGACAGCAGGCTGATAATTACAAAATTGGACATGTATCTACTATCTAGTGATGACCACACATCTCTACTCCTGTTGTATCCACGGTACCGTGGGAGCCGTGGCTAAATAATTATATATTTTTTACTGACTGGTTTGAGGGAAAGACACATAATTATATATTTTTTACTGATAAACTTTTCTAACTGTCCACAAACTCCTACGCAGCCACTTGCACATTTAGGAGACTACACTTCTCAACTCCAAACTCCAAGAACGGTCTCTTCACTGCGATTCAAATTCAAAATTACATTACAACAAATTTGTTTGGCCTGGCCCATCATGAGGGTAATTCCAAATTTTCGGGCCTCGCCCATCATGTAAGTTTGAATTTGAATCGCAGTGAAGAGACCGTTTTTGGAGTTTGGAGCTGAGAAGTGAAGTTTCCTAAATTATTTACTGAAGCAAACTTATTCAAAGCGACGGGTGGCATCACGTGGGCACGGTCCGCCAGCTAAGTTAAATTTCAAGGAATGCCGGTGTGCGTCAGAAAGGGACAGGGCCTCAGATGGTGTTTGATGCCACCGGGAGAAGAAGCCCGTGTCCAAAGCCAAGATAGGCAATACTCGGTTCAGGTTTGGTTCGTTGAAACTCTGAGCCGTCGACAGCAACATAACGATCGGACAAGTGGCCACAGAAAATCCTTGGATGTGCACAGTTCACAGGGCGAGACCTCTCACACCATCCAGCGTTTTAGAGCTGTCGTTCAGACTCGGAAACGCTTGCGCTTGAACAAGGGTTTGAACTCCTTGCATTCGACGTGCGCCACGGAGCACACCCCGTCGACGATGTACGTAGAGATGTCCAGACCGCCTTCGACGGAGACACGCGGAACTGCACCACTCAGCAGATAGGTGTAATCCTGCCACAAAGAAATAAAGCGCAACAAACAAGAACAGCTTCTACAGCTGCGCTCGGTGAAATCCGACCTAAAGTGCAAAGCTTGCTGGCGCCCTGGACCAGTTATGATTACATCATCGTATTTGTACAACCATGTGTACGTCCAGCCGCGTTCATGCCAGTTCCAGAGCGTCACGGGCCGTGCAAGTTGAGGGCACTAAGTATGCACTCTGTGTCGGATTTCACCCAGCGCAACTGTAGTATCCGCTGCTCAACGAAGAGATGAAAATAGCTGTGCGATAAAAGCTTATTGCTTACAAGTAGTCTAATATCTACTACTACAGTACAATCATTGTGTTAGTACTCAGAACTACGGGTTTGAAAAGAAACGAGACACGGATTAATTTCTTGTTCCAGCATAGGGGCAACCCCTTCATGTACATATATGCCCTTAATTTCTTGTTCCAGCATAGGAGCAACCCCTTCATGTACATATTTGCCCACCCTTCCTGTACAACCCCAAACTTACTATCACGAACGGACACAGAGGCAGTAGGTTTTGCGAAAGTGCTCAATACCTTATTCAGGCAGAGCGGCGTACAGTTCGTTGTCTGATGATTGGTTCAGCCATGAAACTCTGAGTCACAACGGAATTTGCCCAAGGGTATAATTGCCTTTGTATCACGAATAGAAGAAGCCCAGTCCCTCTAACCCAGTAGGATACTTAGCCGCTGCATTACGGTTGCCACGGCAAGTACATTGCAGATTAAAACCTGTGTGTCACGACTATGCAATCACTCACACTGCCATCACTACAACTCGCAGTATTTTGAAGAAAGGACGCAGTTCCTCCCCCCCCCCCCCCCCCCCCCCCCCTCTCTCCTTGATTCTACCGCTGCACCCAAACTGAGTAAACACCCAGCTTCACAAACACAAAAAAGAGTGAAACACCAAGGCCGATCTGACATACTGAGCCAATCCATCCATGCACAAAGGCAGGATCTGCGTGTTAACGTGAATTGCCAATCTCCAGAACCAGGACACAATCATGCCGACGTAGGTCCAGACAGGTTTCTTGCAGTACGGCATGCATGGTTTATTTAAGCCAGAGTTAAAGGGGAAGTCAAGGCTACGGTCAAATTTTCACCAGTAGTAGTCTTCGGGGTGCTGAGACGCATGGTCTTGGTCCGAGGAAGCTGAGACGTTCCCTTCCTTCTTTTTTCCCGATCAAACTTGCCACTTCCACCGAAACTGGGTGCCTGCGCCCTACTATGTACATGTGGATTTGTATGCAAAATGTCACTAAAAGCGCCATTTCGTTCTTATAAAAGCACGGATGACCGAGATTGGCCCATATGTTGTAATCTTTTGGACGCTGAGTCGGCTGGTTTTGGTCCGAGAAAACTGTGATGCAGCGTTCCGCCCTTATTCCCAATCGGACATGGTTGAATAAGTGGTCACGTGCTCATGCGTACACCAGTCACCAGGTCAGCGTGCCTGCAGGGTACAACTTACAGCATGTTTAGGCGCGTTTCTGTCACTCGAGTTGAACCTTGGTGTGAAAGTTCAACGCGAGTTGTACCCTGCAAAGCACGGTGACCAGGTGACTGGTGTACGCATGAGCACGTGACCACTTATTCAACCATGTTCGACTGGGAATAAGGGCCGAACGCTGTTCCGCAGCCTTCTCGGACCAAAGCCCGTCGACTCAGGGTCCAAAGCCAGTCGACTCAGCGTCCAAAGGACTACAACATATGGACAATCTCGGTCATCCGTGCTTTTATAAGAACGAAATGGCGCTAGCTTTTAGTGACATTTTGTCTACAAATCCCCATCTATATGGTAGGGCACAGTTACCCAGTTTCGGTGGAACTGGCGAGTTCGATTGGGAATAAAGGAGGAAGGGAGCGTCTCAGCTTCCTCGGACCAAGACCACTCGACTCGGCACCCCCAAGGACTGACTCCAAAATTCCAATGATCGTTTTTTGAATAGAAAAACACATTCTGGTTTTACAGGTAAATCCCATGTACAGTCATGTGCATCTTACCTGGCAAGTATCATGGTCAAACTCATTGCCCCATACGTATACATATCTCAGGGCGCAGCTCGCCCGAATCGCCCTGGCCATGGCCTTAAGGCCCTCTGGCTGAATGCTGTTGAACTTGATGTTCAGCCTGGAAGCCACATGTACATGTACATGCACATACAGACAGACAGACAGACACACACACACACACACACACACACACACACACACACACACACATACCACACACACACACACACACACAGACACACACACACACACACACACACACACACACACACACACACACACACACACACACACACAAGATGACAAAGAGGTCACGCCAAAGGGCTGCGACAGGCGCGTAGCCGGCAGTGTTTTTCAGGTTGCCCGGAAAGGCGGAACCCCCCCCCCCCCCCCCCTCCAGGGTTGCAGCACAGACACCGAAACCTTTCAAAACTCTTCTTAGACAATGCATATGCAGTCACCAGAAGTACAAAGTGACAGTGCGGTGGATGCAGTTTGAGTGAGGTGCGAAATTTCGTGAGAGCTTCGTCTGTACCAACTAAATGTAGCTGAACAAGTACAGTCATATACGATTGTGTAAAGGTTCTCTTTCATATTGCGTATTTTAAATGTTAATACAAATTTGTTAGATGTGAATGGACCACAACACATTGGCAATGGTATTCTAAAGTCTCAGATTTTGCCTCTCAGGAGCTTGGAATTTGAAGATACCCTAAAGCTTTTCACGGGACCGCCTGGAAGTGGTACAAATGATTGAGCGCCGAAGAACGCAGGGGCACAATACGCAGCCTAGCTTTGCAATCACGCCATGTGAAAAACATGTAGAAAACAGTTGTCTGAGGATTGCTTTAGCTTTGCTATGTGCATGAAACGCAGCGTTACAACAATGACCTAGCCGGCTGTCTCTGTTCTCTTCTGCCTTTGTAGAAAACAGTACATGTGCAGTCTTAATTAAGTCTGAAAATCTAGCTTGAATTGTTCCTGAATTTATGTTATTTTCCCGGTGTTCTTCGGCGCCCGATCTTACCATATGTCTGCGCACACATTCATTTGCGTAAAGGCCTATTCATAATACCACTTTTTGCGACGCCACAGCTGCGACTTTACTTTTTCGGTTTTTGCGATATCCATATGCACGCGTGTAGATCTACTGTGCAATGCACATCGCTAAACTTTGGTCAACTTCTGCGACAGTGGCATTGCGAATGCTAGAGCGCGCTAGCGACTGTCTGTCCCCGCGGAAAATCGGGGAAGAAAAGCTCAAAACTCGCGGCACAATTTGCGGCAAAATTGCGAGGAATTTTCGCCCGTTTTTGGTAAACTTGCAAGTACATGTAGATAGGCCAATCTACCGGTTTGCCTCCCAGAAAACTACCTATTTTAAAAGTATTTTTCATAAAGAAGAGATTTGACAGTTCCTTCCGATGTTTTCAAAATAGTAGTAAAAAATACAAATCGAGGAAAGAATTTGCATCCGCGGAATCGCGATTTTCCCTGCAGAAAGTGATATCGCACGGCCGAATATGCCGCAATGCTGCACGTCAGAAATATTCGAGGTGAAGTTGTAACAAGTACGGAGCGAGAGTATCGCTGTGATACGCATACGTCTTGCACATAATCTCACGCAGCATCCAAGACGTGGCATGCACATAAACTAGTGGAGTAGGTTGCCACCTGGTGATGCACCACAACTGAATGCAAGGAACAACGTACGGCAGGTGAAGCGCATCAATGCGTTTACCTTGTGATTTTTCAAGCCATGAAATATGGGCTATTTGGGCCCAGTTTTCACAAACATTTCTCCTCCGGTAGGGCCTTTTTATAGCCGTACCAACGTAGAATAATCCCAACGCCCCTCCCCACACACACGCCAGCAGCCGAAAAGCAAAGAATGCTACAGTTCTGTTGTTACACAACGGCTACATGCTCTACGGCACGACTAAAGCTAAGCAAATCTTAGATAGAGACCACCGTAGGATGGCCGGAAAGTCTCAGAACTCTACGGCAGACTGGGACGTGTGAAAATGATCTAAATGCAATAGTGAACACAATACACTGTCTCGAGTCAGAAACGGGAGGGGGAAGGGGAACGAATAATATCATTATCATACGCGATAGCGAATGAAGGGGAGATATAATAGAGAAGTGATGCTGACCGTGAAAATTTGTACTTCGAAGTATTAATCAGGAAAAAATCGATAAAGTCATAGTATTCTATGGGGGTATAACAGAGACAGCACACCAGCACATGACAACACATCGCGGTACAACTACAATACATTGATTCAACACATCAAGCAAAAAGAGAACAGCGAAGAAAAGATGTGCACTGATATTCCAGGTTATGTCGTAACAAAAGAAGAAGAAAAGCAGCAGAAAAAACACCCTCGTCAGGGTTCAGGTGGCAAAACTAGCCCAAAAAGAACCCAGTGAACACTCGCATGCACAGGAGAAAAAAAAGAAAAGAAAGCCTACACAATATGGAACGCACGGACATACACACACACATCTCCGCCCTCGCACACAACAAATAATTTCTGCGAAGCGAGCGCACATCTAGAAGCACTGGCCAGCATGTGGCAACGGAGAGAGACGAACAGACACCTAGCCCTCTAGCCAGCGTGACACGAGCAGCTGCGTGTCATTCAAGAAGCTATGTACAATCAAGGAAACACGCGCTGCGGGCACCTACCGTCCGTTCGTTGTGCAGAAACACCGGTAGCAGCTCCGTTGGGTAGAAAGACAATAGTTAGCAGAGGAACATACAAGAGGGTTACTGCGGGTACTTTGAACAAGGTCATGCAGTGCTTAATTGCCTGTCACATTACGCGCTGCTGCTGCTTGTGGAGTAAGTCCGATAGAGGCAAGTGGCAGCTCTCGATGAATACGACAAAGGGAGTTGCAGAAGCCCGTGTTCACTGACACTGGGCTAAGATAAGTCCTTTTCTTTCAGCTGCTTGAGAACGTCGTAGCTCTCGCGATGGCGGCGGCTGTCCTCTCTAACGTGACGCCGTCGCTCCTCGCGTAAGCCACGCCAACGACGTTGGTTCATGGCCAGTAGATCCGATGCCCTCGCGGTGGCAGCGTGCTCTGTGGTTGCCGGTGACTGTTCACAGACAGGATAGAGAGCACGATCGACGCGAGCCTTAGCTTCGGCCGGAAGGGTAAGGCTGTGATGTCCAGCCGAAGAGCCTGTCATGGCTGTTGCCGTTGCCGACGTAGCGGCGATAGCGCCACCTCCCGCTGCCAGTGGCGTTGGTTTCGGCTCAGACGCTGGCAACCGGAACACAACCGGATCACCACCCAGAGTGGCGCAGGTCAGTAAGTCCAGACCTGCAGTGTCATGGCCTCTGTCCGACGGCTGGTCGGGCTGCAGGTTTTTCATCCAAGCTCGACAAACTACGTACAGCGGTGTCTCGCGATTGAATTGAGCCAGGTCTACACTACGATCAAAGAGCTTCATCACATGGTACGTCTCATCCGTCTGGGTCTTAGCCTCATCCCGAGTGCGAGGCCTTTTGCGTGGACTACGGCCAGACCGTTTCGATACCTGAGAAGCCTCGGGGGTTCTGTTTGGTAACTGCAGCAGCTCCATGGCCGTCTGCCTGGCCACCTCGTCACTTTCCTCGTGGCCATGTCGTCCATCATCGCTGGCACGGTTTAGAACGTCTTCTAAAACCCCGTTGAAGCGTTGACGGGCAGTAATCACTGCAGCATGGCCTGAGTCCATCAGAACCGTCAGTACCGAAGCACAAACGCTAGCTAGCTTCTCCGAACGCTTCTCGACACCATTTCCTTTGTCCACTGGCTACTTCTTCACAAAAACGCTTTCACAGGCCTACGCACACGCCGGCGTCCTTTGATGTTTCAGCTGTTTTTTTTGTTTATGTTTGAATTGACGCGCTTGCTACACTTCACCACTCGCCGATTTGCATCTAAGTGGACACGCCATTTTTTAAAAATCAGCCTCGTCTCCATGGCAGTAGCAACGCACGTGCGCTTCGGGTCCGCTCACATGACCGGATATGCGATTTTAGGGCGAGTATGTCGAGTATGTCGGGATTTTAGGTGAAAAGTAACGTTTCTTCGAAAGGTACAACTATCGCGTACCGGTTGACAGAAGGGATTCGTAATTAAATAATTAATTTTTTTTTAATATTGACCCCGGTCAACGGCCCGGCCGGCGACCGGCCGGCGGCCCGGCGCCTCATGCCCTGATCATGACATAATCGTTGTGAGCTACATGTACATTGTATACCATCAAGAGTACATAACCCCCCAGAGTGTGCAACGCCTGATCCAGCTCTGCATAGGGTCTTGGTCGAGCGGAATCGGATCTTTGCGTCATAATACCGTACACATCTGAGGGGAACCCGGGGAGTCGCGGGTACTCTTGGATCAAAAACAATGGTGCCCTGCCTCGAGACCGGCCTTGCGCTGGTGTGAAGTGTACGCATGACATCAGAAGATCCGATTCCGCTCGACCAAGACCCTACACAGAGCTGGATCGGCGTTGCACACTCTGGGGGGTTATGTACTCTTGATACCATGTTTATCTACTCTTGATACCATGTATACAGCGCTACAATGACCAAACGTAGCTAGCTAGCTGTGTATTATTGGAAAGGCTTTCTGTCTAAAGCCTTTCCATACTGGTGCTCGATGTTTTCAGTTTGGGGACACCAAAATTAGTGTACCGCTAAAGACACGTGGTCGACACGTTGTGACACGTTGCTGACACTTTGTTGACACGTGACCCAATTACCGGCCTACCAAGTGCCTTTGGTGACCGCTAACAGCAACTGTGGAACAGTGCAGTGCCCTTTTTTGGAGCAACGTACGAGTAGTGCCCATGGATTATGACCCCGCGACCCCAATCTACGTGGCGGTCCGCAATTCGCTACTTCATACTGACTGGCGTCCGACATCGTCCCGAATTTGGCCACAATCTGCTCTCGGGACCCCTATAGGGCTCCCTGACCTGCTCCATCTCCGCCATCGTCAATGTACTGCGCATCCACCCAGGCCAGGACTGCACTTACTTACGGGAAGGAGTATTTGCAAGATGGAACCTGGGAACTGGAAGACGACGAAGAGGAAGCGTGGGAATCCGGCGGCAATGGCTGGGATGTAAGTCCAACATTGCTGGTGCCAGAGTTGCCACTGCTTGCTTATAAGGGAATCATGTGTGTTGCCTTTTTGCCTTTTCCGACGTCCTCCTCCGACTGTACTCCCGATCCCAGGACTGAACTTACGGGAAGGAGTGCTTCCAAGATGGGAGACGAAGAAGAAGAAGCCGCTGAATCCGGCGGCAATGGCTGGGATGTAAGTCCAACATTGCTGGTGCTAGAGTTGCCACTGCTTGAAACCGCTCTGTGAGCGGTTCTGAAAAACCTCTACTGGTGCAGCCCCGTCGTAAAAGTAAGAAATTAGAACTGGCGCATTGTCCTCCCAAATGTGAACTGATCCACCTAAATCGCGATTGACGGGACCCGAACGCACCAGTAGCACGAGGTTCCTACCTGTGGATGCAGCTGGGGACGCTGGTCCATAGCCAAAGCCAAAGCGGCAAAGGTGGGCTTCGGTGTAGATCTAAGTGTTGTATGGTAACTTGATCAGCGCCGACGCCGGCTGTGATCCTGTGCCCTCCCGACCTCGTGCTACTGGTGCGTTCGGGTCCCGTCAATCGCGATTTAGGTGGATCAGTTCACATTTGGGAGGACAATGCGCCAGTTCTAATTTCTTACTTTTACGACGGGGCTGCACCAGTAGAGGTTTTTCAGAACCGCTCACAGAGCGGTTTTTATATGGGTAATGTAGATATATCTACGTGTGTGGGTGTGCACGTGCGCGTACTGAAAAATCGAAAATGCTTTTTCGAAATTTCGCACGTTGTTCAAACGTGATACAGCAGACGTTTCTTGTTGGTTTTGTTGTTTTAGCTTTCTGAAGCTAGCTCTGCAGTGGATAAGAAACATTCCGTGTAAGTGGAGTTGTATTTCCGTACAGTAAGCTACTAGTACATCATGCCGAAAGTTCGTCGCAGTCGCCGCAGGCCGCCGGATGGCTGGGAGTTGATTGAGCCTACCCTGGACGAACTGGATCAGAAAATGAGAGAAGCTGAAACAGATCCTCACGACGGAAAACGTAAAGTGGAAGCCCTTTGGCCAATCTTCAAAATTCATCACCAGAAATCACGCTACGTGTACGATTTGTATTACAAGCGGCGTGCTATTAGCAAGGAATTGTACGATTTCTGTCTGAAGGAGGGTTACGCTGATGGCAATCTCATTGCCAAGTGGAAGAAACAGGGATATGAGAATCTGTGCTGCCTGCGCTGCATTCAAGTTCGGGACACTAACTTCGCCACCAACTGTGTGTGTAGAGTACCCAAAACGAAACTCGAGGAAGGCAAAATCGTTGAATGTATTCACTGCGGCTGTCGAGGTTGCTCGGGCTGATCCACCTAGCTTCTGCATGTCGGTACGTTGTAACCTGTCTCCTGTACATAGTGATATTTTCTCTGCTGATGTCATTTCAGGCGTGGTGTTGTTGTTGTTGTTGTTTGTTGCTCTTGTTATTGCCCTTGTTGCGTGGTGTGTTAGGTTTCACTGTCGGTCTGTGGATCTGTAGCATCACTTGTCCTTGTACATATACTTGATCGATAAACCTTTCGTATTCTCAACAGTCCGTGGCTGTTGCATTTCGTCAATAGTTTTACCATTGCATAAAACTATAATCACAACATTCATAATCACAACATTCATAATTTTGACACTTCATTGAACCTAGTTTTAAAATGAAATCTGTCCTTGACATGAAAAATGAAAAATAGACAATAATGACATGAAAAATAAACAATACAGTACGTATCGCCTATAAGGTTGGCGGCTATAGTGATCAACTTCTCAAATTCATTTTCATTTGCCGTAACTAAGTATGCACAGCTACCATTATAGTTATTATGTTGCCTATACTAGAGTAATCAAATTCCATTGTAAAAGACCTCTACTACATTTTTTTGCATTGGTTAAAGTAATTGATGTGAAATCAAGTGGTGTCAGAGGCGAACAGGAAGTTACTTTTTTGTGAAAAATTTGCCCAGTGTTGTTTCGTGTGTTCTACGTGTAGTATTAGTTGTCCAAAACGCCTCCATCATGAGGATATGCTGACGTTGTGTGTCAGGAGCCTTGGCTGCATAGACATGATATATTTCTCACGGTCAGGACGAGCAGGAGTACACAGGACGCACGCTGCAACCAACTATGCCGTGTGTGAAGTCATGTACGTGTACATGTATGTGTACGGTGGTGCGCTGAGTCTTTTGATACCCCACTCGCATACAGTACATGTAGTACTGGTCATAGTAATATATCGCTTTATATAGTGATAACATGCTCAAAATCAAAGACCGACGCTATATGCGATACTGACCGTCCAATGTAGTGACAATCGTATCTGTATTGGCTGGTACGCGTGTTAGAATGCATTGCATGTGAGTTGAGTCTGGAGCTGTTATTAGTATCCGCTTTTCAGTGTACTTCAAAATCGGGCAACTTTTGCACCTTTCAGATTTAAAAAATGTATTCAACCATCGGAGGTTGACATTTCTGTCGGCCAAAGCAGCAACAAGATTTCCTTGGGGGCTTAAGTATAGTAGAATCGTGTGCCCAAGAACTTTGTTTCCAGGTCAGCCTGGACGAAGGTGCGCCTGTGGCGTTCTTAGCATTTCAGGCTGGGCGTTCTTGGGCTCCACGTTCTCCAGCGCACGACTCTAGTGTACTTGTTTCAGTTGCCAGATGATTGCAGTCTGCCAGGGCAGTCTGACTAGCAACCAGATCCCAGTGGACCCTTTCTTTGGATGTGCGTCTGTTTATCATTATGCGGAAATCGATACAATACTATTGCTATTGAGCGTTGAGAATGAGTGAGAATCGTTACCTTTGGTCAATCAACCAGTCAATTTTAGGGAATCATTATAATTATGTGCGCTTCGTTAGAATAATGGCTTTTACAGTACGTACATGTTCACGGCGAGAACAAATCATGTATTTCGGTTCTGGCAAACCTGCTGCTAAAACTGAGGTAGTGCAATGCTGACAATGGGAATATTGCATATTCCTTCCGAGAGCAATGCTGTACAGGTATACATGTACGTGAAGTCTTGGCTTGAACTTTGATTGAGAAACGACTTACACGCATGCTACCGGTACTGGCCCATCACTAGGCAGCACTACTTTGTGTTTTTGTTGCCAGAAAGCATCATGCAATACGTGTATGACAAAGAATGTTCAATCCCAAGCAGTTTACTAGTACCGTAACGTCGCGTATAAAAGCTGGTGCTTAGGGCCGTATAAGCCGGGGTTCAAACCATGCTTCTATTCAAGTTATGCTTCTATTCAAAACATGCTTCTACGTCAACATCATCAGTCTACACTGTGCAGTGCATACTGCCACGCGGGTACTTGCACGTGTACTCTGCAGAGAGCAATTTCTATTAAAATCATGCTTCTGTATCACAGCGCGCTTCGAAAAATCGCTTCTATTCAAGTCATGCTTCTATACAGGTCATGCTTTTGTACGCGACACTACAGTATCTTGGTACAAGGCTGCTATCCCTAGAGCTAGAACTGTATCCACTCACAGACATACATGTAGAAAATAAAATAAATAAACAAGTAAAGTTAGCCGGATTCGCGGCAGCGTCACCTGACGTGTTGAGAAACACATCAAGCAAATCCATTCGCATCGGCGGGCCACCACTTCGGGCATACATGTACTCTTCTACAATGTACTAACCCACGTAGTAGTGGTGAAACGAATGTCAAAACCTACTAGTCGAATATTCTTCAGCTTAACGAACGAATGAACGAATATTCTTTTCGTAACACAGATGACATCACATGCCCTCCTCTCAGTCATTTGATGGATATTGTCAATACTAATATATTATTAGGTATGACAAACGGTAGTGCCACGTTAAATATACTGCCACATAAGGCTACTTCGAAGTTCATAAATGTTATGTGCAACATCGGCAGTCCAGTATGGACATACATGTGCATGCGTGCAGTACAAAGTCACAGGCAGGCTGTACGCACTGCACTGTACCGTGTTCGGCGTCCATGTATGTACAGGCACTGCATTCGAAGTGACGTAACGAATACTCGAATGTGACTTAACGAATATTCGAATGTGCCAAACCGAACGAATGTTCGAATATTCGAATATTCGTTTCACCACTACCACGTAGACATTGCAACTGCAAGGAGGACCACTTCGGTTCCTTTACAAGATTACAAGATGAGAACAACCAATCCGGGCATGCGCAATACGTACTGTGAAACTGTGTGCACTGTAGTAGAAATGATAAAAACTTGTATACACAACAAAGGCCCCTTCACTCACCATTCCAAACCCGACCTGCCGGTCGTCAGGGCACGCGCCAGTGCCAGTGTGCCACCGTCCTGTATGCGATTTGACTCCAGGTTGAGCGCCTTCAGCGCTCCGTTGAGACTCAGATACGTTGCCAAGTACTCGGCGCCGTCCGGTGCAATCTTGTTCCTGCAATGCATACCGCAAACGGAGGTCGCTTGGCTTGTATGTGTTTGTCCGTAAACCGCGCCATTATTGGCATCAGCGCCTAAGCTAACACGCTGCAATGTGGTATGTGTACAAATGTCATGTACATGTACGTAGTTATGCAGTGTGTACAAATGTTATGTACATGTACGTAGTTATGCAGTCAAAGCATTAAAGTTCACCGCATGCCCGTGTTAGAATAAGCTTTTCACGATATGTTCAGGCATTCAACTTCCAAGTACAGGAGTATGGATGATCTGAACCTCTATCCCTACAAACGCCAAAGCCAAAGGCCAGTGATGCTTGACCTCATAAAAACAGCAGCATTGTGTGTTGAGCGGATAGTGCATGTTTTTGATGAGGTCCACGCTCACTCGCCCCGTACTTTATACTTAACCACCTGTTTTCTGTGGCTTCTAGTCTTCTGTTTTCGTGTGTACACTTTCGAGTTACCGCAACTGGCCCTGATTATATTTCTGTAGAACCGTGTGTGTGTGTGGGGGGGGGGGGGGGGGGGGTGGTGGTGTTCCTGTACCGGTATTTCAAAAGGTTCTTGCCATGGGCACGATCATCTTCAGGGGGTCGCAGGGTATTCGTTGCGGCTATGAAGAGATGGGGGGGGGGGGGGCTCCCCGTGGAAAAAATGGACAATTGGGTCCAAATAGCCCATATATTTTGGATTCCAAGTTCTCCACATGAAATTACTGGTGCGTCTTTGGCCGCACCAGTTCCGACGCCCATGCTCTGTGCCAGTCTTCGCTGCATCCCTTACCCGACCAAGTCCAGGTGCACGAGGGTCTGGTTGACGAGCAGACCCTGACATATGGTGAACATGTCAGAACAGCACAGCGACCACCAGGGCAAGCGCAGCTCTTTCAACACCACGTTGCTCTGAGTAGGGCAGTGTGAGCACACAACAATACTCAATACTGTCGCAGTGTGTCAGGCTGACTGAGGCACCGCTCAACGCCCCTAGAAATCATACTGAACTATTACAGCACAGCTCTTGACGAGATGTCAAAGTGCTCCCGAGTTGTATTATTCAATAGTCAGTATTTGTGACACAGTATTTTGTGACATATACTGTACAGTAAAGTGACCACCCCACGGTGCAAGCAAAAGCGGTCGTTAAAGCCAGGTGGTCTTTAGAACCAGGTCCCACGGTGTCTGTGCAGAACTGTCGGTGCATGGAAAAGCGGTCGTTAAGAGCAGGTGCTCGCTAAACCCAGAGGTCGCTTACACCAGGTTTTACTGTACTTGACTGTGTAGTACACAAGTCATTCATGAACTATTATCATGTTCTGGAGATCAGTTTCATTTTGCATTTTTGATATGTCATACATATCCAGCATACTCGTTTTATGACAACACAATCGTTTAATAAAAGGTACTCGATTAGAAGAAATGGACGATCGTTTCATCCCTAATAATATTATTGTGAATCGCTCAAGGAGGCAACATTTTATTGAATAAATGTACAGCCTTATTGTACTGATACAGCTCGGCATTGCTTTGTCTCCCGCTCATGTCACGCGAAGAATTACATTCAGAACTGTGATTGTGACGTCTGCATTCCCCATACTCCTTATAGCTACTGTATAAGTAAGTCTATAATTTAAAAAAAAATTGTCTCCAAATCGACTATTTAGAATTGACAAAGTTCGGCCGATGTCATTGTTTGTTTTACATAGCATATTGGATAGGTGAGAGAACCGAGCCACGAAAACATGCTCAAAATTCATGCTTTGGAGGAGCGGTAACAACCGATCATCCGTCAGCCAGCACTAGATAGAGCGCTGGATAAGCAGTGGCTGACATTGCATCTGATGGCAAGAAATGTCTAGTGGCTCTGCCAGCACTCGAACACATTTCTTACCTTGAGCATCTTTCCCAGATGATGCGGCAGGCTTCCAACCTGTGGAGACCATACGAAGAACAGCGAAGAATGCACGTGAGCTCTACACTTGTGCCACATCTCGACCAATCACATGCAATATAATGTCAATCGGATTTTCAATTAACTTTGAAGCCATCGCAGGCTCGGTGCCTTCTGAAGCATGATCATACCGCACTTCTGCACATATAGGCTCACGTGCTCATGTCTGGACATTAGCGCACCCCCTAATTTATAAGCGCATACGCTTCTTATACGTAAACAATATTGGTGAAACACCCGGGAGCTGAATATACTGCTAAGCAGTGTGATAACACCGTTGTTTAGAACACAGACAAACATGTATTGCACATATAAGCGCATGGGCTTCTACCCGAACATGTTCACACAGCAAGAAATCTTTTTTTGCAGCAAATTTTCACTTATAAGGCTTATATGTGGGGAAGTACGGTATGTACCCCTCCCGTGGGCCAGACCGGGCCAGAGAAAAGGGAAACCGTGCCTCCCGTAAACAATGACTCACGCCTTGTGACGATAGAACAGGGCGTCCAAGATTGATGTCCTCCGTTGTTCTGTTGGTTTGTAATGCGATAAGCACTTGCTGAAGGCCATTCATGTCCTGCAGCGAAAAGAAGAAGAAAAAAAGAAAGAAAAGAAAAACCACCAATGGACTCGGATGGAGAGCCAAGGATAAATTTATAGAAAAGAAAAAGGACCAAGGAACTACAAGTTACCGTATACGTCAGTGTCGTGTAATGTTATCGCATGAGCTGATTGTTTAGTAACTGGTGGCGTTAGTGGACATTATAGCGTAACTTGTAGTTTCTTGGTCCTTTTTCTTTTCTATAAAACCTCCATTCACCATCATTTCGGTTGTTTTACCGTACTCCAGGATGGAGACAATTTAGGTATTCAAACTTCAGCTAACTTCAGTAGAATCAGTCCAAGCATGCATGCCTTACAGGTTAATAGTTGAACAACGATGAAAACCCCCCACCCCCATGCAGGGCTAAACTTGATGCAGCTGATAATTTCTCACGGTCTGCAGTACTTGTCATGGGATATGATCCTGTCCTCCGTGAATTCTGCGGCAGAATATCAGAAATTTCGCGCAGAATTCTGCGGCTGAAAACAGTAAATTCTGCGCTAATTCTGCAAGTCCTTCTAGAGATCCCATCTTCCATAACCTTCATGAAGGTCCTGCCAAGGAGAATTTTTCTCCGGCAAAACACCGTTATATATATTCGTCTCGAGACGTATGCACCACATGTTCATTACGCAGAATGTTGAATCTGTGACCAACGATGGTGAGGGAGGTTGGTAACCACTGTTGCAGGGAGAGTGAAGCTGCTGAGAGCAGCAACAGGGAGCTCGTTCTTTTGAACTCATCACCTGAGCACAAAGACTTCAGACGCAGCCAGAGTGCTCAAAGATTAGACCATCCCAGCTCTAACTCTTTAAAACCAAGTTCTAAGGAGCGCGACTCTAACGCAGACACACATTCATACATTAACACACACACACACACACACACACAAATCGCCGAAGCTACGCCAGAAAACAAGCTACACTACCAGCAACTTGGGATATACCGTAGGCTGATAGAAGTACACACAGTCTATGTACCATGTACGCCTGTCGCAAGAGAAGGAGCATGCAGATCTACACGTGCACCGGTTACACATCAGCAGATCGCTCTCTAAGAGCAAGATCCAAATGAAACAGACCTAGACTTGCACCACGCAACCGCCAAATCCACGTAACCGGCGAAGCCATGCACACCCGGCCTACAGCAAACGCGTGCACGCACGCGCACACACATGCACCTGAATAGAGCGCAAAAAAGACACTCGCACAAGAGGCCAGCGAAAATAGGGTACGATACAGCAAAAGAGCTGAATTCGCGAGTCAGAGAAGGAAAGCAGACGTGAGCCATGGCGTATTCTTCCAGCAAAACTATGGTCTGAGAAAGAGCACACCCCACCATCAACAGACTAGGTGCAAAACTGATTCTGCAGAGAAGACTAAGTAGACTATAGTAAACCGTATACAAATTTAATAACACTCACTGAAAGCTAGACCGAGAGTACTCCAAAAAGACGGGAGCAGAGAGTCGGGAAATGATAAATAAAATCAGATACCAGTAGATAATGCTGCGAGATCTTGTCTGGCATGAGTTAACTGATATACGGTAGCCACAAACAGGACTGGCCTGCACACAATCCGGTTGCGCCAGCGCGCGCATCGGTTCCAAAGCCGTGCAGCTGCGCACTGTTCGTGATGCACAGTCTCAGTCGCCCAGCTGCACTGTTGTGGCTAGAAGCGCCAGCGTAGAGAGCATGGGTTCAGCACGTGGCTAGCCAAAGCTGCTTTGGACCATAACGGGTAGCAAAGCAGATAGAGTCTACCTGCACTCAGATAGGCCTACATACAACTCCAACCAAAACAGGCAGAGCTGATGGCAGTCTCATCTGCGAACTCAGCAACTGGATAGGATGGGCTCCTGAGCGTGAGCAAGACACTGCAATCAGCCTCAGTGCAGGATGCATGCTCACCGACTGATCAGGGGTGTTATTGTTGAATTAACAGTAGAGCTATCCTCCGAAAGGGATCGACGTCTTGACAAGACCTGCAGTTGAACGGTGCACTGCAACCGGCAATACGCAATACAGATGGGGGCCCACACGCCACTAGACATCCACTGTCTGCTGCAGCTGTCCCACACTAGAGCGCCACACTGAGGATCTTCTCGAACAACTCTTTGTTCTGCACTTCATCCACCGAGATGAACAGCGGTCGGCCATGCATGGTGATATTTCCCAAAGCGCGTGACTTCGGCTGGATGTCGCTCAGTTTCCCCTCGATCCGCTGCCTCTGGTTCAGCATGCCTCTAATCTCAACAATAATCCGCTTGCTCTCAGGAGTGTAAAACATACGATGCACTACGGATTTGGATAGGAAGATGATTCCAATCGTAGGTCCTACACTGCCAACAAGAATCATAGCTGCCATGGAGGCTCGGAACGTTGCAGACGACTCCACCAAGTTCGAAAACGTCAAGACACCAGCCACAGTTGTTGCCAGGCACGTCGTGGCCAGAGAGCAATACTTCACGTAGACCATGGGCTGCGAGTAGCCCCAAGTGTACGCCTCAGGTCCTGGATTCGACCACATCATTTTGCTGGGAAGATTCTGGCGAAGTGGTGACGAGGCCGAAAACGCTCGTCCCGCAACGCGAAGGCCGCATTTCCCTAATCCAGATGCTGCTCTAACAGCAGCTCCGCATCTCAAGAAAGCTCTGCCATACATTTTCGGAGAGCTTGAGCTAAGGAAATAACAACCTACGCAAAGTCCAGGAAAAACAAAAGACTCACTGAAAATAGTAGTACAGTGTATATTCAAAACTCAAAAGTAAAAAAAAGTATTTTTCGTTGCCCAATCTTTACAAAAAAAGTCGTGACACCGCGCGTACATATCATGACATCACGTCCATCCCCGGAGTCGTAAATGTTTTGTTTTTTTCCATCATAAACAGCCTCTTTAGTCCTGCGCACGGCTGTTAGCTGCACTTGGATCGCGGCAACTTAGTTTTCTGCACGTGAACCATGAAAAATCAATGCATGCTCATGCATGTTCATGCATAACCAGTCAGCTGGCCTGCTCGCCCACGCATTTGACAGGTAACAATTCCATCAATTTTGAGATATCGCTTCGTTCTAAGTCTCAAAACAGTTCTAAAGTCATCAAACCACGCTGGTAATCGATGGCTATTCAATGTTAACATCTTCAGGAAGACTTCAGCCGTTTCCCGAGAGTTTGGGCATCGTTGCCGTTATTTTTCACGGTGTTCTTCTTCCTCCTGTCTGGAGCTGCAATTGCATCCTGGAATTATTTGAAAGGTATTTCGTGCGGGCTGTGGGGGGTTCCAACAGGCATAAACTGACATCGCTATAGGATAACTGGTAACTTTCACCCTTCAAGGAGGTAGAGCAATGAGAATTTTTTTGTGGCGGTCGTCCAATTTTTGTGGCGGTCGTGGCTGTATTTGTGCACTTCCAAGGCTTTCATTCTGCCTGATACTACTCTCTACTGTATGGGAATCGTTGTTTAGGCACATGTAGCTGTCTTATTTGGTAGATCTGCTGTTTTCAATCACTTGGGACACTTTGTCTAGCCTATTTGTCTTTCGTTCATGCCATCTATCAGTTTTGTGGGGTGCCTTGACCTGTATTTGTGAAGTTCTCGAGTAAAGACCCTAATTCTTGACTGGAGTAACGTCTTGAATTGAATTTGCTGGGCGAGCCCTCGTTCACGCAGGTGTCCTTATCGTAATAGTCAATATCTGCTTGCTGGACGGACTAGCGGCTAGAACAGGTAAGACCAAATGGTCCAAGTGTGTACTAGCACACGATTGTTTCCATCATCGTGAAATGAGCGTTGTGGAATTGCAGTCGTCTGCCTTTGGCACTGAGGACATGAGGAGAGTTGATTGTTACTTCTGCTCAGCAATGAAGCGATCATCATCTCTCTTTGTTCTAATTATTGAGAGGACATACCGGCATCGCAATCAAGTAAAGATTAGGCAAACCTCGCCAACCTCCAAAGAGAGTCGAAGATATTTTCTCCAAATGCAAAGACGATCTTTGTGAGTTTGTGACTTGCATTTGCGTGCATACATGAGCATGTCACGAGCCACGGCACGTGCGCGGTTACCATGCCATCTCGAACCGACGCCATCTTTCTAAGTTGCCGCTTCTTGACAGCCGTGTGCGGCCCAAATCTAAAAGACGTTGTTTTGCAAGTCCCGTTTCAGTCTCAAGCAGACAACCTGAGCTTTGCATGGGTGGAAAGACCATGTCCTAGGGATGTCGAAACGGCTTGTTGTCATGTCCAGAACTAGGGCATAAGCTGGGGAAAACCAATTTTAGGTTTCGTTACGGAAGTCGTTATTTTACGTTATTTTACGACTCCTTGATTGAAATTGGCAGCATGTGATACGATATTTTATTGAAAATTAGTGCAGTCGATGTGAATTTGTTCTTGTATTTGGATGATTCGTAGATCATGGTTGCCCTTTGCCGAGCGTTCATTTCCTATTGATGGTGATTAGAGATGGCACAGATTGATTTGTTGTAAAATTCGACCAAAATCACCCCCAAACATGGATCTTTCGTATGAGAGGATTTCATTTATTGGGACACTATCTCCACAACACCAGCGGAAGAGAGCTAGCACGAGCGAAGCAAAGGACACCGGAAAACGGCAGAGTGATAGCGATCATAAGCTGATCTTAGCAAACGAGCGATATGGAAGATGTTGTAAATAATAGCGCAGTAGTGTATTTGTCATTTGCTGCAGAGTTGAAAAGTACAATTCAAATTCAAATCAATTCAAAAACTTCAATAGTGCGGTCCACTAGCCTTAGCTTTCAGACTCACTGTCCGATTCACAGTCGGACTTACAGTCCAATCCACTATCGAAACTGCCTTCACCCTCATCATGGCATTGTGTGCATGCGCGCGCGCGCGCGCACGCACACACACACATGTACACACACCGCACAACACATGACATTGTGCGCGCGCGCGCTCGCACACACACATACACAAACCCCACACGCACGCACACACACACACACCGCACAACACATGGCATTGTGTGTGCGCGTCCGCGCGCGCACACACTCACACACCACATAGCACGCTAGAGATCAGCAAGAACCTACTTGTACTTGTACGGGCAAAACCAAAATAAGTTCCACTGCCACTGGCAATCGTTGAAGTACAATAGTGGTGATCACCATCACTGATACAACGAAATTATTATTTGAAAGAAAAAGAAGGGGAGTCATTTTACGACTCCCTGATCACGTCTGTATTTTACTACTCTGGCCCTGGTAATGGTGATTGGTGGGTCTTCCTGTTTCGCAAGACGAGAGCTGGAGCACTGTACTGTATTATCAAGAGTACATAACCCCGGGGGTTATGTACTCTTGGTATTATATTTATAGAGTAGGCGGGGGGCATTCGTTTCAAGTGAAGGCTAGGCCACTGAACATCCGAGCTCTCAGTGACTCCACCACTACAGTAGACAAAAACCAACGCAGCCTTGAGCTACCATGCAGCAGAATGCTCCTACACTCGGACGTCTCTTATCCGGGCACCTTGGGACCGGGCATTGCCCGTATCTCAGGATAACTCATCTACCATGTATCATATCATTTTTGAAGAAGTTTCTTTTGAACGGTATTGCACATGTTCAGGATACAAAAGAAACCGATTGATAAAAGTGTGTGAAATTGTGTGAATTACATAGGCTGGCAGTGAAAAATAAGCACTTCCACATGCGGAAAAAAATTCAAACCCCCCAAATTCGAAGCATTTGTGCTGAGGAGCTCAAGCTGAAGGTGCTCGGTAGAGAGACGTGCCCGTATAGTATCTGAGGCGTCCGGATAAGAGGCGTTTGAGTGTACTTGAACGTGTAGACTGATGGTAGTGTAGTGCCAGTGCAGTGGGCCGGGATCCGGGAGCTATCGGGAGGAGTGAAGGATATCGGTTCATTCACTGTACTGTAGTTTTTTAATGTTTTATTTATTGTGTTACATGTACTACTGAACTGAATAGTTACCGTACTTACCCACATATAAGCGCATGTGCTTATGTCCGGATATAAGCGCACCCCGGCCTCAATTACAAGCGCATGTTCTTATATGTGAACACTATTGGTGAAAAGGCGGGAGCGAAATATACCACTAAGTAGTGTGATGACACCATTGTTTAGGACACAGACACACCTGTATTGCGCATGGGCTTCTACCCGAACATGTTTAGCCAAAGATCTTTTTTGCAGCAAATTTTCGCTTATAAGCGCATGCGCTTTTACGTGGGGAAGTACGGTACATGATTGTACTGCAATAATAAATACGGTTCTGTGACTTCAATGAGTCTATGCCAACCATGACTGCGGCATGCATTGCCATCGGCAGTTGGAGCCGCTGAGTCCGTCAACTGACTCGCTTTTGCGGCTCCAGACGGTCCGCACGGCAAAGGAACCGTGCATACATAATTATACACAACAAATAAATCCAAACGCAAAGGAGAGTGAGCTATGCAGGCATGAAGAAACATGGCAATGAATCTATACCCTACCGTCGGATCAAAATCATCATGTCGCATACGTGCAAAGTCTATGTTCACATGACGAATGCCGTAGCAACACCAACCCAGTACATGCATTGTTCTGTAGAGGCGTGCTCCTGCCTCAGCACCCACCCAAACCACACAAAGGAACAGCTCGCGACTATCAAGAGAACAGGCTCTGTTAGAAAACTCTGGCACCAAGCCGCAATTGCTTGAAGCCTTTCACCGAACTCGTAAGCACTATAGCCAACTGACTACTGCAGCGAAAACGTTTAGCTTATAACACTTGCATGCAAAGAACTCCATCAGCAGGCGAGAAAGAAGGTGAAGACAAAGCCTGTGACTTAAAAGTGTGAACCGTAACGAAAGTCACAGCTACATGTACTTGAAGTACATGTAACACAAAACGAGGGTGCATGTCAGTGACATGTGCGACCTCCTGAACATGCACAAGTGACATGTGATCCGGCGAGTGGAGCTACACAGCCGAGTGTACACCATGCGGGCACGTCTAAATGCCGTGGCATCAGTCACACTCACGTGACATGCAGTGCAGGTCATCGGCTGACACCGTGTACCTGTGCTGTGACGTGCGCCGTGGAACGGCACGCACCGCAAGACTACTCAGCCAGACCAGGCCGGGATCTTTCATCAATTATTGACTGTGATGGCGGCGCTCCGTACAAAGCTCGGGAGATAAGCCATTTAATTGAAAGGCCAGAAGCGGTGATAACGGGCAACCGGTTATGTGACCGGTAGCAGCTGCTAAGGGATTACAGTTATGCAATGACCTTTGCTACTTTTCATACCTGTGAGATGTGGCCGTGCCGGGTTCAAGTTCAGTTTTTCACTTTATACTTCAGTATTTGCTATCAAGAGCACATGTCGATGAAAACTACGAAAAGGAAGAGAGTCGCTTCCCGGGGGAATGATCCAGCGGATAAACGGTGATGAAGATTATAAGGACATGAGAAGTACATCACGTCCTCTCGGGAGTTGCGAAGCAAACGCCAAAGAGGCGGCGCGATGGCAACACTTACAACTTTGAGTAATACTGTAACATGATACATGATTATGAAGATGTGCATCGAAAGATTCGAAACCTGTGTCTGGTGTATTCCAGCACACATTGTAGGAGACAACAAATGGCTTATCTGCAAGCAGTACCGTGCCAGCTAAGCGCTGGCTAGCTGCTTTTACTAACTGCTTCAGCTCCACCATTGACATCATCATTGCCATACCAGGATTTTATGGCATGGCGTCTCCAAGCACTGCATGACGTCATCTGCTGCCTGAATAGGGCTTGAAAGTGATGACGTCAAAAACGGCCAGGGAGTAGTAAGTTGACATCATATTTCTATTTTGGATCCACTAAGGTGTGACTTTGCTATTGCCTCAGTATGTGGGTGCATAGCAACCCACTCATGTCGTATGCAGGGGTGACTTTTACTTCGCCACCAGTTGTAACCCCGCCCCCAGTAGTCAAATCAGTCAGTTTCACCGGTTACATCACCTTGCTGTGAGTAAGACGGCTTGAAATGTGCTTGGATCCATACAAAAACTGGATCCAAGTGGATCCAGTTTTTGAATTTTTGAAATTGTTGCTATGCTGTGACGTAGCACTTTCAAGCCCTATACACCCAGGTGCCTAGCCGGAAGGGTCTGTGAGGGGGGATACAGATGGTGGTCCGGGGCTGTCCCCGGTAGGGGTGAAGGGGGCAGTGCCCCGGGTGCCGGCAGGGGTGCGACACCCCCCCCCAAAAAAAGATTTAGGGTATCTTCCAATCCCAAGTTTCTGAGAGTCCCAAGTTTCTGAGAGTCCCAATCTTGGACTTAGTTGCCATTGTCAATGTGTTGTGGCTCATTCGCATCTAAGAACGTTGTATTCAGTTTCTGTGCTGCATCTGGGGGGGGGGGGGGGGGGGGGGTGCAAACACTGACGGCTATGTGCCTGCTCGGGGTTGCTAACTGATTGACCTCGCACCTGGGCATCAAGGCAGGGAGGGGGTTAATAAAAAAAAGGATATGAGCACGAAATGGAAGTCGCCTACATGTACTGTGTAGGCCAGGGAAATACAAAGCAGGCACCTGAAAAACTAGAAACTTACACTGGCTGCAACAGTATTATTTGCTGTATTGACTTACCAGATAAGTATTTTCGACATTGACAGATGTCACCGACGGCGTTCTCTGGAAGAAATGGACAGATGGTAGCTATCAGAGTCCAGTCTACTGCACTCGGCCAAAGAGAATCCACATGACAAACTTGAGTGCAGACATGATGTGAGGCGGCAATGTGAAGCTCTCAGCACAATGGAAACAAACGACTGTACAGGCAGAACTAGGCCTTGACAGATTATGCTAGCATAATTTTTCGCATAATTTCTACCAACTTTTCTAAGCAATCGCAGACTCCATTGCAGCCATTCACACATTATAGGGTACCTCACTTCAAACTCTCCAACTACGGTCTCTTCGCTGCATACGTTCACTTCACTTCCAAAAAATATAAATAATATTAGATACATGGCCCATCTTCAGGGTGAAAAAACCATTCACCCTGAAGATGGGCCATGCCCGAAAATTTGGTGCATTCCATTTGTATCTAATATTATTTATATTTTTTGGAAGTGAAGTGAACGTATGCAGCGAAGAGACCGTAGTTGGAGAGTTTGAAGTGAGGTACCCTATAATTTCTACCAAAATCGAATAATCACAAAATTCGAGGCAAATTGCATATGAATCGCATAAATTGGAATAATCCGCCTGTTCGCATCAAATTCCATACAGTTGTACATGTTCTACAAGTACAAGTACAAGTAGATGCACCAGGAAGTCGTAGGTTTACGACTCCCTTGATAACATGTCCAGTCCACTACAATCAGTGACGGTCGTAGCTAGGTCGGACGGTGCGGTGACCACGTTGAACTTTTGCTACTACAGTACAGCGCCCTCTACAAAACAATTCCCCTGGTATTTTGCACAGAACCATCATATACATCAGCAGCATATGTGAGCATAATGCGGCATAATATGATAACTTTTAGCATAAAAATAGGCTAAATAGCATAATTCTGCAATTTATTCAGCAATGCGAAAAGCATAATTTCACGAAAATATTAGCATAATCCGTCAAGGCCTAGGCAGAACATTTCGTCGGACAATAATTTCGTCCAACTCCAAAGACCGGGAACCTTGTCCGGTTGTAAATTAATTTCGTCCACGGATCATAAGAGTGTATTGAAAAGCTGGACAAATCGACATTAGCCCGGCATTTAATTTAGTCCAAAGGCTCCTTGAACGAAAACACAAAATTTAATTCCAGACGAATATTTTTCTGCTTATACCGTACATGTACGAGGCTTCATAGCAGCAGGAGTACTAGTAGTACATGATCATTGTGTAGCTGGGATGTGCCGCTGTCATGGAGACATTCCCTCGACTGCGTCATTTTAGTGGTGAAGTCTCCGACTCTGAGTCCACACAAGCAGGAATCAGGCAGGTCTCCCGGCTGCCGCGCAACTGTAGCAAAGTCGTACACGCTACGCCACTTCACGCCGCTTATCTGCACCAAACGTGATGTAGTCAGGAATTTCGCCGTGACGGGTGCCCATGCAGAAAAGTTCAGAAGCCGTACACGCTGGGATTCTGGTATCAGACTATGTATGATTACCATGGCAACATCAACGAGTCAAACAAGTATGCAAAAGCACACGACGGGTACTTTTATTGCAATGCCACGGCATTGCGAGGACGGCAACAGAAGCCGACTGCATGGAATGTCAAGTGCGTTAGTTACCATGGTTACGACATTCGGCGCTCCCCACCGGAAGTCAGTGGCTATCATGAGACCAGAGTTCTATGATATCATAACCCACAACTACATGAGTAATCTAGTACTATCGCATTGTATGCGGGGGCCAATGCCGCATGACTTCCACTGAAGACAGAATCTGGATGAATATCGCCATGCTTATCCATTAAAAATCATACTCTGGCTTCCCTTCAACCACGAATAAATCTTTCGCCTTTTACTAAAGATTTCCGTGGAGGGGAGCAATGAAGGAGTCTTCTCAAGAATTTTTTTACAGTCCTTGTTCATTGAGCAGGGGCTAATAAAAGTCAAAAAGAACAGGTAGAATGGGTACGGTGAACCTCTAGATCTGCAGATCTAGAGGTTCACAACACCCATTTTACCTGTAAAGGCCGACTCATACTTCATTTCGCATACGGGAAACACGTCGCATCACTATTTTGCGTACAGGAAAGCCATCGCACGATGACTTTCCAGTACGAGACATGAAGTATGAATCGGCCTTAGGCCGCGGTCTCACCAAGTTCAGCCGTTTTTGGCTTGCGCTGAAAGTGGCTTGCGACTAGCCAGCTGACGGTCACACCAAAACTAGCTGACGCGGGTTTTCCCAGTTTTTTTTATTTGGAGGATGACCCCTGTGCCCAGTATACGTGATTTGCGCACACACTACGTCCTAATTTTGAATCTCAAAGTGGGCCTCGTCGTGGATGGAAGGAGAAGTAGGGATCTGGAAAATAGATAGAAAGAGAGAGGAGTAGAGAGAGAGAGAAGAGCGATTTGTCACAGTGGATTGAGAATGGATTCGGAAACGAAGAGCCGCATCGCTATCTGTATTTTATTACCGGTATGTTCAATGGTGATGATCCGAATAATTTCCCCTCAGAATCACATCATTTTGCCGATAGTGACAAATAACAGGCTTTGTCGCCGGAGGAAGCGACACGTTTTCGACTTTATAGATGAAGACGGCCCCGGCTTCATTCGCAGCAAACTTTTTCAGGTCTGCGAAGATCCAGGCTCGTTTGCTCGTACCCTTTTTCATTGTCGTCTGCTATCGCGTTTTTGCTTCGTACCACAGCTCGAGCAATCGGCGCTCCAGTCCCACGCTCCAACTATCCATGGCTGACAACGAAACACTTCACACAACTACGGTACAATACAAGAGAAGAAGAAACTACCTGACTACAGCAAACGTCAACTCAAGTTCTTCAACTCCTCTTGCACTCTTGCACTTCAGCCAAAATTATTCAGCCACTTTCAGCTTTTCAGCGCTTCCAAAAGGGCTGAAAGCTGAAAGTGGCTTGTGCCCCGATTTTCAGCCGTTTCCGTGGAAACCTCAGCCGAAAAAAAGCGCTTTTTTGGCTGAACGGCTGAATCGGGCTCGGTGTGACCGCGGCCTTAATAACCCTTTTCACGGTCTCAGAATCCAGTCAAAATGAGGCTATTTACAGAATTCAACAATGTCGTACCTTGATTCATCCATAACTTCAGTTTCCCTTCGCTGATTTTCGTGATCTTGGGCTCTCTGGAAAGCTCTGGACACGAGCAACACGCCGAGCTACAATTCGACACCAAGCGTGCCGTGGATCCAGCGCTGCAGCGCAGCGACATCGCCCCAGTGCTTGATTCACGACGAGAAACAAGATTCAACAGCCATTTCCCTCTCCTTGCTCACATCGAGCTCACATTTTTTGTGAGGAGTGCTGCGAGTCCATACTCTCATTTGAGTCCATGTCTCTATGGCGACAGCTAGCTGCAAAGGTAAAAACCCGTCCTCAAGACCCAGCTCGCCCACTCAAATCGCAAATGAGCCGTGACGCAGATGGTGAGCTTCGTAACATCGCCGCCGTTCACTCTATCGCTTCGGCGATTGTTCCAACGGATAGCCTGGAGCTTTCTCCTCAACCCAGATATTTAGATGTTCGAATTTGCTCAAAAATTGACGGAGTTACGATAAGTCTACACATTTTAAGCCCATTCAAATTTCGGCCTCCCACGGCAAAAACACATTTCAGCAGCATTAAATGTTCGGCCTATACTGCTGCTGACTGTATACACTGTTACACAGAACCTTGCAAATCAAATTTTGGGCCAAGTATGACCAGGCCGAAAATAGCCGAAAATATATATCTGCCGAATATTTTGTTGACTTACAGTACGGGATAAGGGGCCGTCTATAATAATTATTATCGGTCTTTTACACGAAGAGAAAAAGTTTCGTATATGGGTGGGTGGGTCAAGGGGAGTTTCGTTTTGAACAATATTGATATGAGAGGCATCCAGGCATTCTTGCTGTCAAGTCAATCTATTTTTCGTTCAGGGGGGTGGGTGGGTGGGGGAGGGTCCTAACTAAACTTTTTCGTTTCGTGAAAATGATCGATAATGCCGGATAGCCCATAAGCGCAACTCACTTTGCAGATTCAACTTCTCCTTAGTTTTGTTTGTTGTCGTATGCAGACTCTGCTTTTTCAAAGTTATTCATATCGTTCTTGAATCAAATTGAGGGCTCACAGAGGAAGGGGAAGTTGGTGACACACGGATACAGGTGAAGCAGGGCCTCCAGAAAATCAAATAGCATGTCATACCTCACCTTGAAAGCACTCCCGGGTCACAAAACACTCAACAGCAGCCAACCCATAATCGATACAAAGATAAACCAGGACTTACTTCGAAGTGTTTTTTGTTGTTGTTTCTTGTACCCAAACCCTTGTACCCAAGGTTTCGCTAGTGGCCAGCAACACGTTTATACCCCATCTGTTTCGAATCCGTGTGACGAAATAGTAGTAATGAAAATCCATTGCAAACGTGAGAGTCCACCATAAGAACTTTACGTGACTCACGTGTCCGCTGCGTGTGACAAAACCAGCAGCATTGCACATACCTGCAGCATCTGTGCAAGTCGAAGTCCGCCATCACCGCCGATGCGATTGTAACCAAGATCGATGTGCTCCACTGCACTGCTGCCGGCCTGCGTGTGTGTTGCACAGACAGAACAATGATACGATCATGTCCGCAATCTCCCACGGTTGCATATGCTATGCATTCATGATGACAGCATGTTACGAGGCGGAGGACGCACAGAAGTGCTCCTGACTACAACCATAAGCCGTGCTGTCATCATCAAAACATGTTTAAAACCTATCAAGGAAGGCTTATGCTCAATCTGCGGACAGAACTGTTTCGTCCTTTGTGGACTCATCAGCGCAGCACAGAGAGAATGAGGCCGAACCCGGCAGCAATGAAAAATAAATTTTCCAACGCCAGATTTAAACCAGGCCCGAACGTACCTTGCCAGAGTGCTCAAACTGACAAGTCAGTGAGCTCTGCATAGGCTTATATATACCATAAGTTAACTGTAGGTGAAGGGAATGCTGGTCGCCTAATTCTACGTTACACCTGAGACCTGGAAGGTCCCCGACACCGAAATTTTGAATAGGGGTCAAAGGGGTAGTAAAAGGGTACCCGTTTGGATTTCGATGATCCAGTCAGTACGGAACATCACTGCTGGGATCGTGTATTCCAGGCCGCGGGAGTCCATTATTTACAACTCCACGCTGGATGTCTGCATTGTTGTTGCATTTTCGCACCTAGTAGATCTACCTCTCCAACTAACAGACACAAATCAATTTGCGAATCACAATGTGATATCAAAATGCAACCTGAGAGCAGATAAATTAAAATATTGATTTACGTGAAAATTACGCAAGAAATTAAACATGGCTGCTAAAGGGTACCTGTTAGCCCGCCCGTTAAGAAAAGTACAGGTTCGTTAGTTAAAGATACACCCGTTTGACCCCTAATTTTAATACATCGTAAACTACATGTTATACAGTAGCACCTCGAAGACTACATGTAGTTCTGAAGTTTTATTTCATTCCGGGATTCCTCTTTCAACCATACTTTTAAACATCGACACGTTTGGACCGAAGAATGTGGCGGTGTTGAAGCTAAGATTTACACGGCCAAGCGCACAAGCGTTCCCGAGCTACACATGATCATGAGGTACTTGCATTGGACGAAGCAGTTACTACTGCTACTGCTGCTTCAGCTACTCATTCACAACATCACTGTGCACTGCACCCGAGCAGTACCAAGTTCTGTACGCAATGTAAGAAGTCGTTATGTGAGCGATGCATCGGCACCGGAAACCATGAGCAGCACAAACAAGATCTTGTGTCCTTCAAAGCCGCAGCCGAGCATACGCGTGCATCAGTACGTGATTTGTTGTCGAGCTGTGTGTCTGAGAGTGATGGCGCTCTGGAGAATGCCATTGAGAAAGTGCAGTCCTCCATTCGTAACCTTCATGATCAGATACAGCTTGCATCCGAAGAGGCTGGGTTATTTTCCGTTCTCTTGTGGAAGCCACTAAAAAACGTGAAGCCAGCGTCCTGAATGAACTTGATGCTCTTCGAAGTAAGGCTATGGGACCTCTGGAGAAGCAACTCATTAGACTGCAGGGTGGTGTGTCGCAAACAGAGGTGGTGAGGGGCTTTCTGGATGCTTGCCAGGACAGCGTGGACTTTGTGCGTGTGTCCTCTTGGCTAGTGACAGCCTTGAACGGTGCGGCAGAGATTGGCAAGAGTGAAGCTGAGCCGTGTGCTGTGAGTGGCATCGTCTTTGCGGCAAGTGACACCCGTGATCTTCTGACTGGCATCAGCAAAGCGGGTCTTTGTGGAGACATGACTAAGAGCAGTGTGCATTGCACTAAGAATGCGAACAGGGGCGATGACGTTATCATCGGCGTGGAAACGGAGAATCTTCCAGGTACTGTTATGGTCAGCAAAGAGATGCTGGGAAAGATTGATATTGGAGTTTGTCTGACAGAACCGGATGGCCTCTTAGTCCAGTGCGAGCCTCTACAACAATCATCTAGCGGCCGTCTGGTTACTAAATGTCGTCCTGCTCAAGCCGGGGATTACATTGTTTCCACTACAATTGCCGGTGTTCCTCTGAAAAGTAGTCGAGCGAAGTTCCGTGTTGTTCTACCAGCACCTGCTCAGCCACCTGTGTTTGATAGCAACCGCTGTCATGGTGATATTCTGATCTCTGCGGGTAGCAGGCTAACTATCTGTAAAAGGTCACGAGACTATTGTTATCTTTCGGTGTGTAGCTCACCAATACAGGAACAGTTCGGCAGTAGTGTAGTACAGCTGTGTATACATGCCACGCTGCACGCCCAGATCTTTATTTGCTTATGTGCAATGTCCAGTCCAGTACGGAATGATGTACATGTCACAGCGGGTCAGATCTTCGGCTGGCGCGGTCACCTTGTTGATACCGCTCGTCAGGGTGGTGCTCTGGGCCAGCCCTGGCAGACCAACGATTTGATCACATTGACATTGAACCATGATGATCATAGCCTGACTGGACTGCATCATCGAACCGGTGTATCTGAAGTGCTGCGCAACATCCCGTCCAGTAACCTATGCTGGTATGTATCATTGTGCAATGCTGGTGATCAAGTTACAATAGTTTCTTGATTTCCATTGCTATCACTCTGATTTGGACCTGCCTTTGGTATTTGAACTCCACACCACACGGCGATTTCATTCAATGTACTGCGAGAAGTATGTGCTTGTCATGCTGTGCTCACTCCAGCGAGCCTCCTCTCCTACATGTGCTTGAAGCACTGCTTGACCGGACTATACTGGTATTTCAGGTTTCCTGCTTCGTGTCGACGTATTTTCCATCACTTCTTACATGGGCATATCCATGAGCATAATTCATTTCGTTTTTTCTTCATGGTTGTACGCCGACATTGATCGTTTCATTCATGCTCGAGTACGTGTAGCTCTTTTGAACATCTTTCTCCGAGACGCCAATATGCATCCGCGTTTCTTTCTCTTCATCCTTTCCTATTCCGCTACAGGTTCTTTCGTGTATTTTTTATTATTTTTATCATTCCGTTTCCCCGGTTGTTGCGATGTCTTTGTTGTGGCCTCAATCGTCCTTGCTCAGTGTGCTAGTTTGTTACTACACTCCGTCTGCCTCTGCAGTCTTCCATTAACGAGAGGGTGTGAAAGCCCAGGAGCCCTCGCTATGCTTTGTTTCTACTAGGTCGTATTGTGTGTTGTTGAACTGATAGAAACGTCTTTGCAAAGCAACAACATGTGCCCGATAATCGTAGTAAAAGAAAAGAAACTTTAGCTCATATCGAGTCATAAACACAAATACTGTAGAGGCAGAAAATTTCGTCGGCCAATAATTTCGTCCAACTCCAAAGAAAAGGAGTTCGTCCGGTTGAAAACTTCGTCCATGGATCATAAGAGTGTATAGAAAAGCTGGACAAATCGCTATTCATCCTACATAAAATTTAGTCCAAAAGCTCCTTGGACGAAAAAGACGAAATTAAATTCCAGACGAATATTTCTGCTTATACAGTAGATACTGTACATAACTAATTTATAAGAAAGAAAAAGGACCAACGAGCTAAAAGTAACGCTACAATGTCCACTAACACCACCAGTTACTAAACAATCAGCTCATGTGAAAACACTGCACGACACTGACCGACGATACTGACGTTCTACAACTAACTGGCTAACAGCTCTAGCACATCTTGGATGCGCACTCCTGAGGTCCAACAGCCTTCCAACTTGGAAGGTGCTAAGTAACACATAACTCTAAACTCTAACTCACAGACAGGTGCATTCTACATTCTTCCAAGCTACCGTAAAAGTCCGTAAATAAGTACGTATTTACTTTCGAATTTAGTGACCACACCCGTACTAACTTTCGCGCGGGTACTGACTTTCGGGCACGAACTAACTTTCGAACCTGACTTGTGTGTTGTGGAGAAGTCATTTTTATGTAGATGTACATGCTACGTGCTGCATGTGCGAACCATACCGGTACTTATTTCGGGCAGTATGTTTATCGGGCTTGACTTGACTTCAACAGACAGAGCCAAAAGAATGAAGGGGGTATTTCTTTCGGGCAGGTACTTATTTACGGACTTTTATGGTAGTTATTATTACACTATGGTGCTAGTTAGTTAGTAGAGAGACAGCCGTGTATGTATACTGCAGGTATTAGTTTTGATCATCCATGTTTTCTCTCATTTTTATTTTATCCGTCGGCCCCCACTCATAGAACGGTCGTTGCGTGTGAATTTCTGCTCGTGGTCGATTTCGCAACCTTTTCTGCCCTGTATGTACAATAGACTTTTTTGTAGCAAGCTCTTGTTGTCATACCTTCGAGAATAGTATTCATGAGATGTGAGTGGACGGTTAAAGCCGGTTGTGTGCACTGACCTTGTTCCGCTTTGTTGCTGTCGCTGCTGCAGCACCCTCCTAGTTTGATTGAGCGCCCCCTGTGAAAAAGTGGCGTTCCTACTCTTTTGTTAATTTTTGTGTTTTTTCATGCCATTCAACTAAAAATCTAAAACGCAGTCGGTAGTCACTACTACAGGGTCCATAAAGGCACATTTGTCCGTACGTTGCATTTTTGCATGGCCAGACAATTTTGGAAAATGGAAAAAAATGGGTCACAGCGTAACTGTTCCCCATGCCCGCGGCGCACCTACTATTTTGACCTGGCTAGAACCCTGCTGCCACTCGAACTTGACAATAGACGCAGCTTTCCGTACGTGCAGTTACATTGAGCCATGGTGTTTTTTATCTTATTTTTGTGAATCCTTCCCGGAAGCAAATGCTGGTTTTTATACATTCGTGTAATTACTCAGCGTTATTTGCAATAAGAAGAAGAAGAAGAACCCTGCACCGTGCCTACTGCTCAATGACATGTGACCGTGTGTTGGGTGCCGTGTTAGCGCGAGACCTACGAACACTGGGTTGTGCTCTGGTACAGAGCACTGACCTGATCACGATATCGCATTGCATTGCTCACGAGTTCGACTCAAGCCTGTAAATCTTCCTGGATGTTTGTATACTGTACATGTGACACCCTGTAAGAAGACGTTAGGTATGTTGGGAATGCCCAAGTAAAAACGGTACCCCATCCCATCGGCCGCATCAAATTTTCGGCCTGTGCCGTAAAGTACCGCCATAGCGCCCCACCATCTCGTCCTTTCGTGGTCGTATTGTGGAGGTGATCCCCTGCCTGTAGGTCATACGACACGAACCTTGTACACACACTACACATTGTGTAGTCAATCCGTACTCAATTTGTCGTCAAGCAGACATGAGCTCCACACAAAAACCTGCCAAGTGTGACCTTAGCGTACTAAGGTTCTCATGCCGTACAGGCCGTACGAATTTCGTTGCACTCTCGCGAGACCGGGCGCTCTGGCGGTACATCACGGTACTGCTGCCGCCTGTACACACTGTCACACTGAACCTTGCAAAACACAATTTCGACCGCAACAAATGTTCGACCAAACATGATCAGGCCGAAAATAGCCGAAAATAAATAAAATAATAAATTTCACGGTCCGAATCCGCCGAAAATAAATATGCGCCGTATATCTGTTGACGTACAGTATGGAGTAGATGGTGAATAAGTCTGAAGATTGTCTCGTTATTCGCGAGTTGTTGGACGCGAGGTCGTTGTTTACAAGGTTGTCTGCATGCATTACCGTGTTTTGCGTAGACTAGTGCGGACTGGACAAAAGTGCTGATCACGCAGAAACTCAAGCCCCAGGCCGCGTACATGCACTTGGAATTTGGAACTGGGCTCCTCGGCAGCAGAGTCACATAGGCATGACATATAATTATACTGTGAAGTGAGACACTTTCCCTCAAGCCAGTGAATAGAGATTAATTTTCGCTATTTTCGGGACCATCACACATTCGCAAATATAAATCGCCGCAAACTGCTCTGTACATTGATCGTAGACAGCATACAGTCCAACTGAAGACAGTATACAGTCCAACTGAAGACAGTATACAGTCCAACTGAAGAGGTACAGTCCAACTGAAGAGGTACAGTCCAACTGAAGAGGTACAGTATAGACAGCATACAGTCCAACTGAAGACAGCATGCAGTCCAACTGAAGAGGTACAGTACAGTACAGTCCAACTGAAGAGGTACAGTACAGTACAGTCCAACTGAAGAGGTACAGTCGCAAACGTTTCTCATCCTGAATCCGCCCAATTCACGAAAATGCATAATTTGCACGCCGCGGAAGTTTATCGCTTTACAGTAACAGAGCTAGAGGTGCAAATACCACGTTCACACAGGGGCATGGCATATGTAGCAGAGGTGCATAGACCACGTTCACACAGGGGCATGGCATATGTAGCAGAGGTGCATAAACCACGTTCACACAGGGGCATGGCATATGTAGCAGAGGTGCATAGACCACGTTCACACAGGGGCATGGCATATGTAGCAGAGGTGCATAGACCACGTTCACACAGGGGCATGGCATATGTAGCAGAGGTGCATAAACCACGTTCACACAGGGGCATGGCATATGCAGCAGAGGTGCAAATACCACGTTCACACAGGGGCATGGCATATGTAGCAGAGGTGCATAGACCACGTTCACACAGGGGCATGGCATATGTAGCAGAGGTGCATAGACTACGTTCACACAGGGGCATGGCATATGCAGCAGAGGTGCAAATACCACGTTCACACAGGGGCATGGCATATGCAGCAGAGGTGCAAATACCACGTTCACACAGGGGCATGGCATATGTAGCAGAGGTGCATAGACCACGTTCACACAGGGGCATGGCATATGTAGCAGAGGTGCATAAACCACGTTCACACAGGGGCATGGCATATGTAGCAGAGGTGCATAGACCACGTTCACACAGGGGCATGGCATATGTAGCAGAGGTGCATAGACCACGTTCACACAGGGGCATGGCATATGTAGCAGAGGTGCATAAACCACGTTCACACAGGGGCATGGCATATGTAGCAGAGGTGCATAGACCACGTTCACACAGGGGCATGGCATATGCAGCAGAGGTGCATAGACCACGTTCACACAGGGCATGCACATGACCAGACACCTCTGTAACGCAGCTCCGCGCAGAAACATACAAGGGAGAGGATTTCGAAATAACAACTGCCAATCTCATCGCGTACGAATGGTATAAGGAGTGATCGGATGGGCAAGTTGGCGGACAACCCATTCCATTTCAGGCTTTGGCCTTCCACAATGGGATTACTTGACTTTCGTGAGAAAGGTCCACTACAGTGCTGCTCAATGAAATCGCGGCACTCACTCAAGTACGCGTTGGGCGTTGCGCAGTCCTGGACCTGCGAACACTGGGCTGCGAAATGGTGCAAGGCGCAAACTTGAGTGCCGCGACTGGATTTCATCGAGCAGACCTGTAGTACACAGCCTCCAACCCCCGAATCCACCACAAATTAAAAATTAAAAAGATGATAACAGCACTTGCATGGAAGCCGGAAATATACCCGGGCCGTCGGTTCCATGCCGCCAACGCACCTTCAACGCACCGTACAGCGCTCCGGCGCCTTCGGCCGTGATCTCGTTCAGGAAGAGACTTATGCCCTCCATGCGGGTGTTCTGCCTGAGGAACTCGGCAATGCAGGCTGCTCCCTTGTCAGTGACGGTATTGTATGAGAGATTGAGATGTGATGTGACGTTGTGCTGTTTCAGTACAGCCAGGAGAGCTGGCACAATCTAAAACAGCGGTAAAAAGCAAATACAGTAAAACCCGGCGTAAGCGACCTCTCGTTTTAGCGACCACCTGCTCTTAACGACCGTTTTTCCATGTACGGACAGTTCTACACAGACACTGTGGGACCTGGTTCTAAAGACCACCTGGCTTTAACGACCGCTTTTGCTTGCACCGTGGGGTGGTCGCTTTTAAAACCAGGTTTTACTGTATCCGCGGCAACATCCTCACATCAGCGGCTCGATTGTGAACTACTTGAAGTACATGTACAGTACATGCCGCGGTTAGTTTCTCGACTGTGGCACGCTGTTACAATCTCGTGTCCTCGTAAAGATATTGCCTGTGGCAATCTGTTACATCGTGCCCTGATATAAATATTGCTCTTTGATATAATGATGTGATGCAGGATCATGCCTGAGAGGTCATGCAACTTTAGAACGGCCCGGGTGCACATTTTGCAATCACTGAAAAGAATAAAATTATCCGAATTTTCGGGCAAGGCCCATCTTCAGGAGTAAATAACTTCACGTATTGACTATGGAGTAAAAGTCTGCAGCACATTCTAAAGACATGTTCAAAATTGGGAAAGGTCGGCGCATCCAAAAACGGCTCCAAGTCAGTTGGCATGCATCAGGATGCAGTAATTCCAACCATCCACATACACTAAGACCAGCACTAACCTCGTCATTAATCTGGTTGCCTTTCAAAACTGGCTGGTTTCCTTGTAGATCCAGGGTGTCGAATGGGACTCTGCGGAAGAGAGAGAGAGAGAGAGAGAGAGAGAGAGAGAGAGAGAGAGAGAGAGGGAGGGAGGGAGAGAGAGAGAGAGAGAGAGAGAGAGAGAGAGAGAGAGAGAGAGAGAGAGAGAGAGAGAGAGAGAGAGAGGGAGAGAGAGGGAGAGAGGGAGGGAGAGAGAGAGAGAGAGAGAGAGAGAGAGAGAGAGAGAGAGAGAGGGAGAGAGAGACAGAGGACAATGATCGTTCTATCGTGAGACTCACAGTTCCCTACGACGTACCTATGCTCTGCGTATTTCTACACATTGAGCCATGTAGGGCTGGTTGATAGCAAAATAGATGTATCGCGGTCCAACTTCTGCTTTCCTGTTCCTTTTCTATTTCGGCAAAAGTATGATCAAGAGTGCGCATGCTTTGTCATGTTTCGTCTTAAAGGGGCCGTCCGTAAATATCAATGTTTTTTTCAAGACGACATTTGTTCATTTCTCCCCAGACCCTCCCCCCTCAAAACGAACATACACATGTTTATGCAAGGGATCGATATTTTTTAATGAAGTTCAATTTCCTCATGAAACGTGACCAGCTGCCACTCTAATGTCACCATACACCTAGGTTTACGTTACCACGGTCGCACAACCTTGCCATGGCTATGCTCACGAGGTTGATTTTCACTTTGTGTAGGTCATAAACTACATGTACATGTTCGAACAGCGCCCGTCCATAGATAGAGTTCGATATTTTTTCCTGCAAAGACGAGACGAACAGGTCCCAAACCCCCTCCCCCCCCCCCCCAAACGAACGAATATCTTCTCTAAAAAAACATCGATATTTGTGGACGACCCCTAACTCAACTTAATATTGACTTCATCATGTTCAGGACACGTTGATCTCCCGTCCGTTGTCTGCTTCGACTGCCATTGCTGCGCTGTACAATTATTTCTGATCTCTGCCTACGCATTATGGTATCAGTGAGCCAATTGGCCACAAAAGACTGAATAACGATGCCATGAAACATTGTGACGTTCTGTCCCCGTGGATTACGCGGGCGCGCAATTTTCGCATAATCGAACATGAATCGCATTTTCTTACAACTTCCGCGGTGACGTCGCATAAACCTTGATTTTTAGAAAAACAGCGAGGAAAGTGCGCGCAATGACCACCCCGCCGCATTTTCGGTCGCAGTCTGCACGACAAGAACGCGCTGAGCCATTTCGATCATGTTTTCGTTCAGCTACGCTATACGCTGCTCTTAGCAGGGGTATAGTCTGCTCTAGCTGATGTCCATACGTAGTAGTGGCAGTTGACGTCTGGAGAAAGTTGTAGCAGCGATATCTTCTCAGGATCGGAATCGAAAATGAGAATTTCCATCGCTGAAGCCTTTGCAGTTTTCGCTCTCCAAGCAGCAGTAAGATGGAGGACGGCGATGGCTTTAAACCGCCGAGGCAGGTGAAGTTCCGTACCCATAGACTATTCCTGGCCTTCTCAATCATCATACAATCCCAGGACATGAGTAGATCAGAAAAAGAAAGTACAATTATGTCATTTTTGAATGGATAATTTAAAATTAATTCGAATCTGACATAATTATTTTAAATTTTCAATGGAAATCTTGATGGTGAAGGCCCGCATAATGATTGTATTCCCCGCGTATTGTCGCATAATCCTTGCATAATTGAGTGTTATAGGCGGCATAATTTGAGAAATCTGTCCGCGCAATTCACGGGGCACAGGACGTTGGCTGATCGTCGAGTTGCACCCACTTAGTCAGGCATGTACTCTCGACTTCATGTAACACAGTGAACAGAAAGCGTCGTACATTTCCAGTATGTATGACGAAGTTGTACCAATGACACCTTTCCATTGCATGATGACCGCGTTAGGACACGTCTTTGTCACAGACCGACCTATTCTCGCCCTGCATAAGACAGCGTATGATTCAAAGAACTTGTTCTGCGCTATTCGGAGGGGAGAGAGCTGTTATAAGTTGCAGCGTACGTAGAATTTTTTTTAATGATCAGAACGCGTCCCGGCGATGTCATTTTCTTCAAGTCAAGCCACCTCACACTGTCATCATCCCAGCCAAAGGGCTGCAGTAAACTCTAGTGCCCAATCATTCACTATAGCCTAGCTGGAAACTGTTAACAGCTAGCTGTCCGGAGATTAGTGAAGTGCACAATTGTTTGTAGTAAGCATGTGTACGTCTAGTATAAGGTAGTCATGAGTGCATGGAGGTGATACGACTTGAACTCTTTGTACAGACACCAGGTTGAACAGGTCACAATGAACGCGTGCATCTCAGTAAGATAGTCACATGTACATCAATTCATGCATGCTCACTCTTACTTGCTTCCATGGTGCTTGATCAGCTCCGCCACAACCTCAGCACATCGTTTATTCTCGCCAGTGTACTCAGACAGGAAAGCTGAGGCTGCAGCGTGGCAGGTTGCCTGGAAAGCCTGCGACACGTTTCCAATTTCAACGCCGGGCAATTGGCCATTTTCCTCAGTTGGCTCACCCATGTCGGCTAGGTCATTCACATCACAAAATAAGAGCCTCCGTGTAACAAGGGTGACACAAGACAACTAGACATCGCCGACTTCATCACGAATCTGTACCACTGCCAACATTCGAATCGTGGTGAAATCGGCGATCGATTCAGCTTTCCCGGGCAGCGTCTAGCGTCACCACGCGTCTCTATGACAACATTCGCCTGACGTCACGACCAAGACTAAGAGTGCATAAACTGTTATGGACTCTTTGTAATGTACATGCGCATACAATCTACGGGAGTGTCTGAGTGACAAAATCAGCATCTCCGATGAAACATACATGATTGTACTGATGTAGGAAGATAAGCTCGAGCCACTTCCATGCACAACTACTGAACTACAATTGTAGCTCCGAAGTCCATGCTCCCTTTGTCCAACCATCTCATCTGATCACCAAGATCACTACTGACACTAGACACTTCTACGGCTTCTTTGCCTTGCCTTTGGCTCCATCCACGGCCACAACAGAGCATGTCCAGCAAGATCAACACAAGGATTTTGTCTACACTCTCCTTCACTTCAGGCTTCACACAGAAACAATACCCTGCTACACACGACTCCATGTCCAAGTCCAAGTCCTACTAGTACTACCACTGGCCAGTACTCATCGGATATCATGACAGCTCAGCTGAGCAGAACTACTTTTTTTACACTCGTAGATCTACGTAGATCTACTATACGTACCATCAAGAGTAGATAAACAACTTGGTACCATGCTCAACGTGCCAACATGACAACAAAATTCAAGTTTTTGTTGTGCATGCATATGCGGCGCGGCTGGACAAGTAAAAATCTGCATGCGCAGCGCATTAGGTTGTAAAATATCTACTCTCAGCTCCGGCGCTTGGGCGGCCGGGCCAGGCCGCGCCGCTTGTACATGCGCATTATGCATGTCATAATCGGGCACGAGGGCAAGGACCGTCATGGTAACAACATTCTGCAGTCAGCCATCTTGTCGTTCTTTTTCTCTTGCGTCTTGCAAGCACAACCATGGGTGAGTTTGCTCTCCCTCTTCCTTCCCAACCCAAGACGAACGTTCGTTTTTAGGCTTATACCACTTCTTTCTCTTCGTGTGTTGGTTGTTTCAGGTAAGCCAAGGGGTATCCGTACTGCTCGCAAGCTGCGCTTCCATCGTCGTGACCAGAAATGGCATGACAAGCAGTACAAAAAGGCCCATTTGGGAACGGCATTGAAGGCTAATCCCTTCGGTGGTGCTTCTCACGCCAAGGGAATCGTCCTGGAGAAAGTGTGAGTAATCTTGTGGATCATAGCGATGATTCTGGATGTGGAACTGTGCTTATAGGCGACTGCAAGCTGCAGCAGTTTTGCTGCTTCATTGCTTGTTTGGAGTTTATTTGGAATTCTGCCGTTTGCCGATGCACCCGCATTGGTTTGGATGTGATCCGCGGCTTTTGGATATGGATGGAGACCAGCGTAGTACAGCATGTGTTATGGCACTGGAAGTCGATCGATCAGTTATGCTCTTTCAAATGGATGTGGGGATGAGCTGCCTCTAAAATCGGATCAGGATTTGTTTCTGCGTATCAATGGAAACGTCAAAGCATTACGTAGGCTCGAGATGCGGAATATGCTGATTGGGAGACGGTCCATAGCACTGGAGGTGGTGTTGTTAGATTTCCGAAGGTGTATTGTTTTGCTTCGCCGCTTGATAGTTGTTTTGGCTCGGGCATTTCTTTTTTATGGAAATAGAGAAAAATATTCAGCACACAATTTTTTCCATGCCTTCACACTAACACAAAAATTCCTGAATTTTCCCAATTCAAAAAAGAGTGGTATTTTCTTATTTCGTTATGTGCTATTTATTCTGTTGTACAGTGGTGTTGAGGCCAAGCAGCCTAACTCTGCCATCCGAAAGTGCGTCAGGGTCCAGCTGATCAAGAACGGAAAGAAGATCACAGCTTTCGTGCCCCGTGACGGTTGCCTCAACTACATTGAGGAGAACGACGAGGTTCTGGTAGCTGGATTCGGACGTAAGGGACACGCTGTCGGTGATATTCCCGGAGTCCGTTTCAAGGTCGTCAAGGTTGCCAACGTTTCCCTGCTCGCCCTGTACAAGGAGAAGAAGGAGAGACCACGTTCATAAACATCAAAAACATGCCCTAATAAACCAGTCTCACCACTCAACCGTCTGTGCTATGTTGTGCGGTAGGCCATGTGTTATATGTTGCAGTGCTGCATGATTAGTACTGTTGTGCGATAGGCCATGTGTTATGTGTGTTGCAGTGCTGCATGATTAGGACTGTTGTGCGGTAGGCCATGTGTTACAGTGCTGCATGTTTAGTACTGTTGTGCGGTCCGCCATGTGTTGTAGTGCTACGTGTTAAGTCTGATCCATACTTTCCTTTGTTTGCGGAAAATGCTGTTCAATAGGTATGGTGGTGATTGTGCAATGGCCCAAGCAAGTTTTAGCAGGGCTCATATTTTAACGTGTTTCTCAAGTGTGGGTCAGACTTCAGTCCTGAAGCTCGTTTGTGTTCGGCTTGTAGTGTGAATGCGGTTCATGGACAGTATTATGTCTATAGCTATGTCCTTGCAATTGGGTCTTATATGTCAACATCGCCTGGTATGACTGTCCGCGTCATGTCTTACTCTTCTTCATTAGCTCATTTGAGTTTACTGAAACTGGCTCGTTCAGGGAAAAGCGTGATGTTGTTGTTTCGTGATCGATACATGTATTGTTACACTGTCCCCCGTGAATTCTGCGTCCAAAACAGTAAATTCTGTGTGAGTTCTGCAAATCATTCTTAATTCTGCAGGGAACTTGAGCGTGAAAGCAGATCGAATCTCCGCAAACCCAGTGTGCTGTCCATATAAATTAATTGTGAACCAAAGATTCTGCGAAACCCTTATCCAAAATATACGGCAAGTTGATTTTGACGCCAGGAGCGGGTTGCTTTTGCTGTGAAATACACCACCGATCTCCAGAAAAGCAGTTTTCCCTTTTCTGAAATATTCCCTGGGAAAGTCTGCGGAATTCACATGGCACACCGTGTATTACAAAGTCTCATGCAAGGATCATTGCCTGGTGCTTCACACACAAGGGGATAAATCATACACGGTAGTTGTTCGCTGAAGAATGTCTTTGTTGGTTTTGTATTTCTAAGAACTTCCCAGTCTGACTTCTTGGGGGCGCAACTCTACTGCACTACACTAATTCCACCGTTCGCTTTGTCGATGAACGGGTTGACTGTGCCTGGCTCGTTGTTGTATCCTGCAGTTGACAGTTTTGTTTGCGTCAGTGCTGCCGTGTTTGTTTTTGTCTTTGGTTCAGTTCCTGATCCACTGTATTCTGACTTGTTGCTTTGTAAGCACTCTGCGGAGGTTGCTTGGTGTGCCGCATGTGGTCATGCTCTTCAGCTGTTGTCCTTCTGCCGACAGAGTCGCGTGTCCAAGAACGTTGTAAGCCTGGGGGCGTTCTTATGTAGATAATCGAGCGAGGTACAGAGGGCTTTGATCAGTCATCAAGCCCGACTGTACCTCGCTTGAATATGCTTCATACGATCCCCAACAATTTTTGAATTCAATCGCTTTATTCTTTGGGTGATCTCGAGTGTGGACAATGTCGGCCTTTCGTTTGGGATTTCAGAGCAGCCTGAAGTCTAAAATGCATTTCGTTTTCGTCCCGTTCGTAAGTTTCAAACAGAGATTACAGCAAAGGGAAAGTCATGTCAGTGGACGAAAAACCTGTTTCGTGAGAAATTTCTCAGGACTACTTGACAAGAGCCGGACGTGGCTGAAGAGTCGTGGAAGTATTTTCACTTCGACCATGCACACCTTGCTCACGCTGCATACTGCTGAGAGTTCTGCGGTGCTGGAGCTAGATTTCCAACTCCACACAAGTTGAGAGCCACCACCCCTATCGGTTTCTTGTTCTTATAGCCAGATCACCTTGAAAATACCGAGATTGGGCATGATCAAGGCTTTGATGGTTTTCTCGTACAGGTTGCCAATGACAGCGGGCTTTGATGGAATATCAAAGCCCGCTCTCCGAGGCTGCTGATTGGTCGTAATCTAGCAAAGGGCACGTGGGTCGTTTGAAAGCACACTGGAATCGTATGTATCCCAAAACCTTAACTTTAGGCTGGACATTCTTCGGCGCGCGCCTCTACTGTATGGTACTTGCTGTGTACTGACTACACTTTTCTGGCTTGTTGGGTGGCACCGGCTTGCTACCATTGCATTGTTTTGATTGTCTTCATCAAAACGCACATGTGCCTGTCTTGTACCAGTCGCGTACCTGCCATGCATTTGGCCTATGTGTAATCTGCCACACTTTGTAGAATAAGTCCATCGTATACAGGGATGAATTTATCCTGTATCGCATCGCAGTTTGCGATGCAACATCGATCTGCTGCTACACAAAAGTCACTGTGACTCGCAGAAAATTGCGATACATACAGACTATCCATGCCTAGCCTGTGCTATCAAGTCATACAGTGCAGTGTATGTGGTGCAGGCACTCTCAATCTGCGTGCACATGTATTCTTCAGTCGTTTTTTTGCAAATGGGCTTTCAGGCATCACTCTCAAGAAGGACAATGTGGTAAATACCCTACCTCCAAAGAAAAACTTTGAATACTAATCAAAATCAAAGACTGCTACACAATTGTGATTTCGTATAGCAGAAACTGCTATGCAAAAATATGACAGTAAATTCATCCCTGGTATACTATTGTCTGCATTTTTAAGTCTATCACCGTAACCAGCTGTCCACCATATACATTCCCCTATTCCGCGGTTCGCAGAATTTCCGCAGAATCCAGTAGTGTCCGCAGAATTCAGAAAATCCTGCGGAATATTGCAGAAAAGAGAGAAAACTGTGTTTTCTGCAGACTTTTAATGTATTTTTAAAATACATCAAAAGTCTGCAGAAAACACAGTCACCAAACCTACGGTATGGTGGGTTTTCTACGTTGCACGGTGACCTAAACAAAACTGCGCCGTACGATGGGTTTTATCATGCAAGAGTACATCAAGAGTATACTCTTCTGTACTCTTGTAGTTTTTATCTAGCATAGATGCGGGGTTGCACAATCTTGTTTATGTGCTGTTGCTCTTAGCGGACTTGAAGCAATAACGTTATACCAGGGAGTCGTAAAATACCGGTACTCCCTGGTTACACTAAGTCTTATAATCCCTTCAGCCCTGTGTCTGTGTGGAGAGCAACCTACTTAAAAAGTACTTTCTTATGTAACGTGTATGTTAGGGAGGTGGTACGGGCAAGTGGAATAAAATTAAAGGGTGATTTTGTGCTACATCTGCGCCTTGATCCTTGTAGGGTGGTGGCGTTCCTACGGATGCGGAAAACTCAACCTCTAGCGGAGTCGGACGCGAACCGTCAATGGACATTATGCCATTTGTACAGATCCACGACATGCCGTAGAATCCCGTAGACTAGTAGGGTGTTCAATGTGCAGGACCCTATTGTGTTTTCTGATGTTTCCACTAAGAAATGGAGCCTGAAGGCCGCATGATTTCATACGAAAACCTTTTTCTGACAAGATCTAGCTATTTTGTAGTCATTAGTTCTAACCAAAGTGAAGAAGCTGGAAAAGCGATTGCTGGTCATTGAATTATGACGCTAAAAAGGTCAAATGCGCACGCATAGCACACAATGAACACCCTACCGAGTCTACGGGATTCTACGGGATTTCGTGGATCTGCACAAATGGCATAAGGTCGATTTTTTGAGTATGTGACTCAGTGTGGGGTTTCCAATGGCCTGGTCATTCCAGTCGCCCTTGGCCGAGGCCCAACATCATGAACATAGGAAAGAGCTTTCCTACGGAAATCAGTAGAGACATTTACGTATAAAAGTTGCCCTCGCTCCCTGGCGCGTACGACATACGGATTTTCATACTTAATTACGTAGAGCGAAACCTCCCGGTGAGAATTGCGGAGAGCTCCGAGTCTGGTGCCAGAGTGACTTTGCAGTGTAGAGAGCGAGTGTGAGCAGGTGTGTATTTACCGCCATATTGCCAAGTGTGTGTTTTTTTTACCACCGGTGCACCATATCAGGGAGTCGTACTTTACGACTCCCTGATTTGAGTCCGAGCAACCAAAAGCAAAAAATAAATAAATGAATAAATTATCGTGTCCGTTCCCGAAGGGAACTCACGACGGCCGCTAACACCCGATAAACCCTAGCAAAATAAGGCCAAGTAAAAAAATTGATTGTTTATCGTCTGCCGCGCCCGCCCCGATTTTTCGCCCTCCCGGCCGAATTATTTTATTTTTTTAATTCCAGTAAATCATAGGTACTGTACATGTACTGCGATCTGTGCCTGTGTGGCGTCTAATGAGCGTGGCTGTAGATCTTGGAAGGTGAAGTCCGCAGATTGAATGGCATACCTGTAGGTGATATCATGGCGGCTTGAAAAGTGACATTATCAGTTGCCTGATTCTCTTTGTTGTCCTACGTTGGTTGCTTCACTTTTCCCTATTTGCATCCTCAAAATTATCTTGCAAGATGTTATTCGTGGCTGACGATTCATCTGCATCACATGATTTATCTCACTCTGTGCAAAATGGCTCCAAAAAAGACAATTGAAGAAAGAGGCATGTCTGTTGTAGTAGGGGTTGCGAACACCGGCTAGGCCGGTCCGGCGGATTCTGCCGGCAGAAAAATTGGCAGACTGATTCGGTACTTTTTCTGGTAAGTTTCATGCATGTTTGGTATGTGGATAAAGAAATGGAGCAGAATTCGAGGAATTGCCCTCCACTGATAAGGTTTGTATGGTTCTGCCAATTTTTTGACTGCTTTTTTGAGCAGAACCTGCCACCTTTTCGAGCAGAATCCGCCGGTCCCTAGCGAACACCTACCAATAGTACCATACAGCCACACATGTAAAATAAAAAATAAAATACCCTCTCTCTCTCAGTATTGTGGCTTGGGTCAAGTCTTCTCTTCTCTTCTCAGGAAAATCTGACGATAAACAATCAATATAAAAATAATTATTTTACATGGCCAAAAATATTGTCATTGTTGATGGAATATTACCATGGACACATCATGTCAGGCTTGCTTGCCACCAGGGATCGGGAGTCGTAAGTATATGTTATCGCATGGTTGCAAGGGCCTTATGGCATATTATTGCCCCGAGAGGTTAGCCCGAGGGCCGTAGG